TTACGTCAGGCGCAAACGCACAGTGGAACGCCCACAGGATCCCGTACAACACGTATGTATGTATGTGCACATAAACTCAAACGCATTAAGGACTATCGTGCGTCCAACAGACACGACACAGAGCCAACGACGGCGACAACGACGTCGGCTCAGCTGCCTGGATTCGTGGGCTGATTAAAACTGATTTATTGCTTTAAATGCAATTTACATAAAAATCAGACAATAAGTTCTGCTGAACGGTACGCTTTTTTGACTTTGTACGTTGTAAATATTCAGTGGCAGAGTGGAAATTCCCCAAAATAAAACCAAATGGTTTGTTGGAATAAATTCAAAGCCATCACTCTTAGGCCAATCATATTCTTGTGAATGGCGTATTAGGACTCAATTTCTATAATAAATGTACAATAATTTAGTTAGAGCTTTCTTTTAATATTTTTTTTTTTAAATATTAAATTATAAAGAAAGAGCTCGATGGATAAGGATTATTAGAAAACAGAAGGTTTTTATTATGTAACTAAAGTTTATATTATAAATTAAATAAACAAATCTCCTTTCTTCCCATTGCTTTAACACCAATTCCCACACCTGGAACACCCAAAGTCCTTGCTTCACTTAGATTTGCAACTTGATTACAGTTACTTTTAATTATATAAATTAGCTCGGTTTCTGCTTTATTCAATGTGTCGGCTTGTGCTTCTGTGACAGCCACCGGCAGCAGCAGCAGCAGCAGATCGCTTTCCCAAATATTCGGCGGACTAGGGGAAGGACACCGCAGAATAAAGCGATGGCTCCTGTGGCTGGCCGCATATGTGGGCCAACTTAGTGGCAATAAGTTAAATTAGCATAAACTTAATTAGCATAAGAGTGCTGGGCCAACTGGGAGACAGATGGAGGCCAGGTGGGTGGCGCTAGTTGGGCGATTCCCACCACCCCATACGGCAGAAAGCCTCTGCGCCCCCCTGTGCATATTTCACAGCAAATCCGCAGCGCATTAAAAGAAAATACGTGGCGAAACGGGAAAAAATAAAATAAAATGCACAGCAAAACAATGAAAACGGAGCGAAAAGGCAGCAGCAGCACCAGCAGCACCAGCACCAGTAGCTGCGCGTCTGGGGATTGTGCCAATGAAGTAAGGACCGCACACAGTGTTGCCCAGGTTGGAGGTTGGATGGCAGCAGTACGCTAAGTGACTGCTGTTACACATTTAGCCGGGGCTGATGGGATTGCCAGGCGATATGGAGGAGCAGATACGGCCAAAGCTGCAGATACGTTTACAGTTTACAGTTCACAGTTAGAGCCGAGAGTGCCCGGCCGGCATTCGCATATGAACAAATGTACACGACTCCGACTCCTGGTCCCACCTGGCGCCGGAGCCTGTCCCCCCGAGCGACCAGGAGCGCGACAAGATAAAAGCAGCCCCCACTAAATCTGCTGTATGTGCGTCCAGGGACCCGGCGGGCAAGCCAGCTCAGCCAACCATCCACTGCAGTTCTCGCTTCTCGTTCTCGTTCTCGTTTCTCGTACCGCTTCCTTGGCAACGCTGCGTATGAGCAATGCCCGTATCGTGGAGTGGGGCTCCTGGAGGATTTGGCAACTGGGCCTTATTGCGGTCTCCTGCATGTACAAAATAATGCGCTCAAAATTTTTCCGCTCGTTGGGTTCACTTAGAGCAAATGCATTTTTATAAAATAAATAAGCGCAATCTGTGCAATGCTTTACACCAAGCACTTAATTCAGATTTTACCACAAAATGCTATTTATTGGCTATTATGGTGCTGCAAAAACCGCTGTGCAACATATTTTTAAAAAATATTGAGTGAGCTTTTAACTTTTAAGAGACCTGTCAGTTCGTTATTTATTATTTTAATACGGTAGTTGTGTTTAAGTTAAAAGTAAAACAAAGAAACTGGAGATTATTGATTAAATCTTGCATAAAATATCATTAAATATCTACATTAATTGTAGTTAGTTGTATTTCTTGTATAGAGATACCTAAAAACAAAAGAATAACTTTGATAACCGAGTTATGGACCTTCTATTATCTAAAATTTCTTATATAATTTGCCATAGTTTAAATTAAGAGCTAAAAAAACCACCATCCAGGGGATTCTGCTACTATCCAAAGTGCAGCTTCATGTAAAACCAAAGAAAATATAATTTATTTACTGAGTAAATTACGGTACAAAATTTTACCGACCTCCTGAAGCCCAGGGCTATCATTAATGTAAAACCATTATTTCACAATTTTGTTTCTCTTATTTATATTTTCTGCTATCTGAGGCAAGACCAAAGTGGGCCGAGTTAATTTCAGAGAACACTTTACGCGGTGCAATTTGGAGAGTTTCAGTTGCATTCGGGCCCCGGCCAGCCACACATTTGGTAAGCAATAAATTGACCAAGCGGCCAACGCCATCATCTACTTTAAAAGCATTTGCTGCCGCCCAGCCGCCCGGCCACCCAATCCTGACGCTACGCCCCCAATCAGGACGACCTGGTAGCGATCCGGGAAACTCCTGGAGCCCGCACTCCTTGCAATACTCGAAGCTGCGACGACGCTAAAAAGATACCGGAAATGTTACCGGAAACAAAATGACTTAATGGCCGCGATTGCAATGGCATGGAATCGTTTCAGGCATCGTGCCGTGGTCCTTCCTTCTTGGTCCTTGGTCCATGGCCTGCTGGCCATTCATTGCAGTTGCCGAGGTCAGCATAAAAGCATAAAGGAGAGGTTATCTCTATGTGAAGGTCGCAATGCTCTTTCGCAGATCAACCAAAAATAATTTATAGGCATTCAAGTATGGCAGAGGTTTCAGTAGTTCGAAAGGTGTTCGTTCCCCTGGGTAACATAGTTTTATTTAATGGGATTCCGATTTCAAAACGATATATTTATATTTGGTAAGTTGAAAATTTTACTTGTGAAAAATAATATTTATTTGATATATCTTGTTGTGATATATCTATATAACTCATTCTTCCAGCAAACAAAAATGATTCCCATTTTTAAATATGTTTATAGAATATTAACTAATGATTCCAATTAACCCTCCTTCTTAAATGAAGTGCTGCTTATGTAATCCTCCCTTGCAATCGATCAATAAAATAATCTAAATTATATTACTTCTTCATTGTTGCAGCTTGGGAAGATAATGTTTGGCTTTGACAAGCTATGGCACTGATTCAATATGCTTATTGGGAAGCTTCTATTAAATTGCTTTCGTTCAATAAAGCATACACACACACACACAATCGACCCGATGATGAGCCACAAAGTGAGCAAAGGTACTGACCAGGTACTGCCAAGGCAATCCTTGCCCCAACCCTCGGAAGCCTTGTAGAAGTAATTGCAGTGGCCGCATAATTATCATAAGCTAAATGGCACTGCATGCTATTGAAACGGTTTTGAGGTTTGAATTTCTTTTGAGCTGGAACATATTTCTAATTAAATTAATTAAGCGAAGCGAGAATGTGGCAAGTATGCAAGCCAATTAGTGGAAAATGCAAAATTAAATGTCTGTGCGCAGCTAGAGACGGAGGGGAGAGCAAGGAGGAATCGAAAGCATAGAGACAGTGCAAGTGGAAGAGGGATGGGTAGCTGGCTGTTTGTGCCCAGGTTTGTCCTTCCTCGTCCGTTCGCCTTGCGTCCTGCGTCCTTCGGACTTCTTTTGTTGGCCACGCCGCCCGGGCAATAATTGCGTTTAGTCATGTAAGCTTTTGTTTTGCCGTTATGCGTGTATCTGTGTGACAAAGTTAATGACAGCATAATTAAACAAAACTAACAGCAGACTAATAAAATGTTTATACTGCATGTCGCTCAAGGGCTCGTCACATCGTCACCCCCTCGCATTACGTCTGCATATACGTATACCTTTTAAGCATTCCTCGTCCTTGTGCGTCGGCGTTTGTCAAGCGACAATTAAAGTCATAATAAAAGCAAGCAGAAGACAATCATCATGCCGCCGCCTCCTCCTCCTCCTCCTCTGGTAAACCAAAAGGACCCATGCATCCACCAGCCGCCCACTGCCCCCTCCCGTCTCCGTTTCATTTCGGTTAGTTATGCATAAAGTTCATCACAAAGGGGTATAACCTGAACGTAAACATGCCGACTGTCGAGGCGCCTTCTCGTCCTTTGTTTGGCAGGCATATAAATTTCAAAATTAAAGCAAAGTTTAACCTTTGTCTTTGTGCAAATGTGGGTGAGAGTAGTATGTGCCTTACGGGAATGTGTGTGATATATGCCCGCATAGTGCATAACATACTTTAATTTGACAACGTTAAACAGCTAATTCATTACATTTTAACGCTTTCAAACATGTCGTGACTTTTTAATTATTTCCCATCTGTTTATTAATATTATAATTACGTTAATTACAATACAGGTAGGCGAATGCCATTGCAGGTTTACCTTACACAATGTCAGAGTAGCAGGAGTAAACAGAGAGCTCTTCAGAATTTAGCTTTGTGTAATTATAATAACATACCTTGTACGATTTCCCCTCTTGAATATGTGGATTAAAAATATAAATACTCAATACAGAGTATACAAGCCTAAATACCTATAAGATGTATAATGGGCTTACGTTTGAATTGACACCTTAAACAAAGCGGAGAAATTCGCTCCTTGAAAACATACAAATTTAAATAAAGGGTACAGCGCTCAGCCTTTTCTTTTTATTCATTTTTAGCCACCTCCCAAACTGTGGGTGGAGTCAATCAATGCCATCAGCCAATCAAGAATATGTAAAAACCTTATTAGTCTGCAACTAATATGCCGTTGCAACCAGTATAAAAAGCGTGTTCATCCGCTTTCTTTGAAAAGTTATCCAACCCGCATGCCAGGCACTACGCTTATTGTCGCCAGTCGTGACGTAAAAGCGAAAAGCGGCTGTTTAAATATTAACTAATTTAATAAAATGCAGCGCACTACCAATATTGAACCGTGCTATTTGCCAATGTGCACAGGCGAGATGGTATATAAAAGGCGGACAGGGGAGGAGCGATGATTAGGCTATCAGTCGACCGACAATGCATTTGACCAAGCCAACACTGCTCCTGCTCGCCCTGACCATCAGCGCCGGCTGTGTGTCGTCCACGCCGCATCCGGGTCTGCTGGAGGGGCTCTGGGATGAGCTCGGAAAGACCGGCCAGACCATCGTCAGTGGCCTCGTTGAGGCCACAAAGAATGGATCGGCTATTGCGGAGGACCTCGCTGGCAGCCTGAAGAACTCCACCAGTAAGTTTGTCGAGCAGACCGCCCAGTTTGCTGACCAGATAGCCAGTGCCCTGCACGCCGCCGTGTCGCAGGCTCTGCAGGACTTCTCCGCCGCACTGCGGGCTAATATTGCGGATCTGAAGGATGCCATCGCCCGGGTCTCCAGTCGAGTTAAGCGTCAGGCCCTGCAAGATGCCCTCGCCGGACTGCAGGGTATCAATGCTTCCGTTAGCGATCTGGAGATTGCCCTGCAGAACATCACCGATCAGCTGGAGCAGAAGAAGGAACAATATGGCGCCGAGATCCAGCAGACGTGGAACAACTGGGGCGCTGCTCAATTGGAGCGCGTCGACCAGGAGACCAATGGCGTAGGCGTCGAGGAGGCCCAAGAGATTCTGGACGAGCTAGAGAACCGGTATGCCGGCTATCTGCACAGCTGCCTGGAGGAGCAGCAGGTGCGCCTGGCCACGTACGAGCAGGAGGTCCACACGACCGTTGCCCGTTACCAGAATGCCACCAACGATCTGATCGCCCAAATCGAAATCTGCCAGCAGTCCAACTCCGGACCCATCTCCTGTCGCATCGCCATCAAGAAGGCCCTGAAGGCAATCCAGTCGGCACCCAGGGATCTGCTAAACCTGAGGCTCAAGGGGCTTAAACTGCTGGCCGTTAACCTCGACGCAGCCGGATGTGTGGGACAAACTCTGGCGGAGCACGCCCTGGAGCGTCCAAGCGTGGAGCGCCAGTTGGATGAAATCATTAAGCGGTACCAGGAGCAGGGTGCTTCCAGCTCATCCGAGAATGAGGACGACTCGGGCTCAGATGAGGGGTCAGCTGGTGGTTCGAGCTCTGAGGAGGAAGCGAGCTCTGAGTCCAAGGAGAGCTCAGAGGAGGCGGCCAGTTCTGAGTCCAACGAGAGCTCTGAGGAGGCAAGCTCCAACGAGAACTCTGAGGAGGAGGCCAGCAGTAGTACTTAATCAGACAATCACATAATCATAAAACGTTAATCAAGGTGTGGGGTATAAGCAGCAAAATAAAAACTTTTTTCAATGCAACAAATTAAAAAAAATGTCTAAATATAATTTTTCTAAAGGCTTTTAATGCAAATATGGAAATCTTTTGAATTGGAACAACATTGCTGTTCCCCTTTAGAGGATCTTATGGGATGGATTCTCCATACAGATCAATACAATATTCATTCAAACACTTGAACAAAAAATCAAATATAAAAAATCATAAAACCAGTAAAAGCCATACCTTTAGTTTAATAATTATTTTCATTTCACAAATGCAATTGAACTGGTCAGATTGACTTGCAGAAACCGATTAACTTTGTCAATGAAAAAACACATTTTTTGTGGTTGGCTTACGTGTTCAATTTCGCTGCAATTATTGCTCTTTTAAAGGTCATACGTGCAATTTCTGGCCCAGCGCCCAGCTTAATGATAAACAGATTCAGTTCAAACTATATCCAGAACTGAAGTCAAGGTGGGCAAATACAAATATCTTAAAATTAAACCCTCAGGGTTAGAAATCGTCAACAGGTCAAACTTTCCATGCATTATTTATTTATTAAGAAATAGCAAATATCTGCCATGCATTCGTAAATTCTATTTGGACTTTATCTTCATTAAATTTAGGACTCAATGGATATTTTTAACAGGTTTACTTCTTGCTTCTTCTATAATAAAAATAATTTTAATAATGTTTAAAGATATATAAATATATAAATATATATAAACATATAAATTTGAATTTATTCAATAAAAATTAACGTCCATATTTTATTTCGAATTATTATTTTATAATTAATAATTAAATAAATAATAATTTAATAAATAAATAAATTTAAATTTATTCGAAGAAAAATATTTCTGTAGGAATTTTTAATATAAATAAATAATAATTAAATAAAAAACTATTTAAATAATAAATAAAAAAATGAATCTAACAAAAATATCATAATGCGATAAACGATCCAAAAATTTAACAAATTTGATTGATTTTTTTTTATTCCCTTATTTAAGTTCTAGTTTGTCACCTTCTTCTTAAAAGCCAAAAAACACAAGTTTTCACTCCAAGATTTCTCCTCCTCAAATTCATTTAAAATATTCATTCATTTCTACATTCGATACCCCTTAAAATTCTACTATTCTACTATTATAAAAAAGCTGTTTTGCAGCTTTTAACAATTTATAGCTCTAACTGAACTTTAAAAGCACATTTTTGCAAGGGAGTTAAGGAAGAACTTTTTTGGTATACTATTATAAGGAACAAGCTTTCACTAAGGACTCGAAAAATTCTTTTAGTAGACTTATAACAGCTTTTTTAAAGCTTGTATGACTTTATGCTGTAAAGCACTGTATAAGATATGGTTCAAATTATAGCGTATACGTTTAGTATTACAGTATAACACGTACTCAATCATCTTTTCGAAATTAGGTACACAACAATTCCCCTCAATCACTTATGCGAAAATAGAAATAAATTATAACGTATACGCCCCGTATAACACGTACATATAAGAGTTCCCCTCAATCCTTGTTCGAAAAGGGGAACTAAGTGAATCCCACAATTAGTAAAACATCAAAAGAATTGTTATTCATATCTTAGTTTGCCTGTTCACAATTTTATTGACTGTCTTATTTCTTTTATATGTTTTCTCTTAAGAGCTATAGACTATCAGATATATATATTTAGTTTTGCATCATTATATAATTAATGTTTAGTGTTTTTTGCTCTTTGCGCGCTAAGCAAAACAAAAAGCTTTCGAAGTTCGTAGCATTACAAATTCGTTTCAGTTGCTGTTTAACTTAAATATGATTTTAGATTTATTTTTTATGAGGGGACCAGGTTAAGAACTAGCCAAAATAGCTCGGAGGCTGGCAAAGAAAATGCATTCACATGTCTAGGAGTTTATAGAGAAAATATGATTTCTTATATATATTATATTATTTATGATGCTATGTTTATGATTAGGCATGCCTTATCCTTTTTTTCTGTTTTCCTTTGTGTATTTTATTGCTTATTCTACAACACGAAACAATGGCTTTGCTTAGGAATTCTTTTAAATTTGACTTAGGAATAATTTTGCATTAGGATGACCAAAATGGAGAAAGAAACCCAAACTTAAATAAGATATTTCATTCATATTAGTTATCTATCTAGATTTGAATTTTTCGATGTGTGTGTTTTTTTTTGTATGGGAACAAATAGCTGTATAAATACTTAAGACTCTATTTCATTCTAAATCTCGAATCTAGCGTAAGTTGGTTAACATCACTCAAGTTGAATTCCTTCAAGTGAAGTCAAGAAATGTCCATGGAATTGTATTTATATTGACTTTCTTTAAAATCTTGCAGTATTGCTTTGGTTTTACCTGTGTGGAGCTAGCCCTCCGAAACATTTATCTGAAAGGTGAGCAACTAAATAATACTTAATTGTTGAGCATTCCGCTGGCTCGGTGGCCAAATAAAGCTAACGCACAACCTAAATGAACTCTGCGACCGATTGGCACGAAATCTAACCAAACTAACTGCCTAAATGTTGCCGACCAAGTCCCTCACTCATTGGTACTCCACCCGGGCCACAGGCACCCCAAAGTCATTGACCTCGAACACGATCAGCTTCCGTTTCTTGCGGACATTGGCCGAGGGAAGGGATTGCTTCTCGGCTGTGGCTGCCTTCGTGGTTGGTTTGCTCTTGGGAGACTCCGTGGGATTTGGTTTCTCCAGATTTTTCGATGCTGATTTTTTCGTTGTTGCCTTGCTTGTTGTCGTTGTTGTTGTTGTTGTTGTAGTTGTTGAAGTTGTAGCTTTTGCTGTGACCACTACCTTTTGATCCTGTGGGTCCTTTGCACCCATTTCCCGAATCTGTTGAACCAACTTTGGTTTCTCATTTGGCTTTTCCGGGGACATGGGCTGTTTATCCTTGGGTTTGGGCATCGGGGGAAGGGCCGGAAGATCGCAGCGCTGCCGTAAGTGGCGGTACACTGCATCCACACGCTGCACCAGGCGATTCACATACTTTGTGGTGGTGCGGTCCACAATCGATGGCGCCTTAATGCAGTCATTGCCACCGAACTCACAAACCTGGGAAAAGTTTTCAAAAATTTAAATTTAAATTAATCAGACAAATAAAATTATCAATCATTAAACTCACCCTGTAGTGCTGCAATATGGCCTCCTTCGGCGGCACATTAAGCGAACCCTTGCCCGGTGCAAACTCCCACACAAAGTGGTTGCCAGCCTCCACCACAGCCTCGGGCTTGCAAATGTACTTGGAACGTTGCTTCTGGGGATGCAGCTTGTAACGCCTGAAGAGAATGACAAGGATGTCAATGTGAACGGGAGAAGGGTCGCAGACAACTCACCTGCGGGTCTTGCGCTGGGTGACCAGGGAGGCTCGAACACTGGCCAGCTGGTCGCTGCCGCCATCGATGCCAGAACTAGCAAGGACATCGTCCGCAAATTGAAGATAGTAGAAGGCATTTTGGAAGGAATAGGCTCCCGTATTCCGATTGCGAAAGCGCTGATTTAGAGAACTAAATAAATACATAAAAAGATTAGAAAATGAAAGGAGTTGAAGCTTATAAAAATAATCTTGTTTAAGGAAACTATTTTAATTAGATAGGGTCACGATTATCCTTAAATATTTATCTGAAAAATCTATTTTCTTCCTTACCTAATGAGCTCATTCAGCGTGTCCGAGTAGCGCGGCACTATAAACTCGTCCAGATCGACCAGGGCCAGATACTTGTAGCGGAACATGGTGCGGTAGAGGCAGTCGTTGAGGGCCGCAAAAAGCCCCTCCGTGCGGATCTCCTTCTGGCTACGCATGCGCAGGTTCCACGGCAGGATATTGACCGTGGGCCGTTGGTAATGCTCCGACGTGAGCACACGCGGCGTGGCATTCCGGGCTGCCTCTGCCGGCAGCAATGGCTGCAGATCATGGGCGGTTAAGTTTCCGGGCACCAGACCCTGCTGGTAGCTCTGCAACACACAGGAGGCATGTGGCCCCAGGGTGTGATTGTAGAAGGTGAAGTGCGAGACCCCAAGAAGGGCATAGAACTCCAGGTACTCCATCAGGTACAGAGCCTGGTCGTAGTTGAAGTGAAAGGGTTTTACGCAGACGGCTATGCGGTCGGGTATGTTGTCGCCACTGGGGGGCGGAGCCGGAACCGGAGCTCCCTTCTTAACTGTACCGTTTCGTGCTGGATTTGCAAAATCCACGTCATGGTCGGTGTTACGCAGGGTCAGCAGATTGCCGGGTGGTGCCCGGAGCCGAGAGACCACACTCACGAACTGGGGCACAGTAAGAGGGGGAGCTCGCACCGGACAGAGGATGAAACAGGCGCTGTACTTGAGATTCCAGTTCTCTCGAATAATCTAGTGGAATCAGAATGGAATTTTTATGTATTTCAATTATTCCAATACCTAATTATTTCCGAAGACAAATACTAAAGTCAAACAGCCTCACCTTGACGCGAGCCATCACAGTGGCCGACGTGTATTTGGCACGTGCTGAGGAAGAGCCCGCCTCGGTGGCATTCGTCGAGCTGGGACCATACCAGAACCGACACCACACCCGCTCCGGTCCCCGTGTCTTGGTGGCTCCCACCACTCGCACCAGACGGGCTCCTTCGCGACGATCGAAGTAGGCCGAGTAGACAAAGAACTTGAAGCGGGTGCCGTTGACAACCTGCCAGTCGCCGTCGGTGGGCCGCGTGCCAAATGGAAAATGGGGCAGTGTCTCCTCCACCTTATCGGGCAGAACTTGGCCCCAGGGTATGAGGGGTACATTGACACCGAACGCCCCAGCACCCATGCCGCCGCCGCCTCCACCACCGCCGCCGCCGTTGAGGAGCATGCCTGCCAAGCGCTGGCCATCGGCGCCTGCGGCTTCTGTGAAATTGAAAAATGCATGAGACATGCGGCGTATACGTAATATCCCATTGTCACAAGCATCTCTTTTGTCGTCGAATTGCATTACGTTTGCCGGACAATTCGGATTCTTATTGTGTGTCCCTGATTGCACCGGATATCAATCGCAGCTGAGGTACTCACCTTGAATTTTAAGTTTATTGTCACGCAGCTGTATAAAACCTAATTTATTATCACTCAAAATGCTGGCATCCAATAGATCATAATCGTCCTGCATCGAAACGAAAGTGGTAATACGTTTTTAGATTATTATAGAATTATTATGTTTGAAAACTTTTTGAATGAACCGTGTATTTGATTAAAAAAACAATTAAATGAATATATTAATCCATTAATATTTCCAAATTAAAGGCCTTAAATCAAACAATATTTATATTCCCTCTGCTCTTCCAAAACGTCTATCACATTTATGATTGTTCTTTAAAATATGCATCGAATTAAAATACAGTTAATTTAATATTCTGCTAGAATTATTTCATGAAAAAAAACACCAAAGTATGCATCTTAATTAATGCAATTAGGTATTCAAATCCCCGGCAAAACCAAAAGGCACATCTTCGGTGTTCCCACAGGATTCCGAGGCCGAAAAAGAACGAGTTGTCCCTCATGCCGCCAGCGGCCCTTGACGTACAGATTTACATAAGAAAACTCACCTTAACATTATCATAATCCGGCATCGAGTCGCCCAACCTTCCGCCCAGGCTGGCGCCTCCACCGCCACCCGCCCGCATGGCCACCATGCCGTTGTGGGTGCGTTCGTCGATCATAAAGACCTGCGGCAAGATGAAAAATGTTTTATATAATTTCTGGCTACCTAGAACAAATGCATTCATAAAGACACATAAATTGATAATAAAATAAAATAAATTCTAACACTATGTAAACATTGAAATTCTGATTATTTTGGAAGGACATTGAGAAGGTAGGCATAGAAACAGTGGCTTCATTTCTTGCAAATTAAAAATTTTGTAAGTTCTGCTAGCTACTGTTCTAGCTACAATATAGTGATTTCTCTTGGTTGTTATTAAAGATTATAGACTGTAAGCTGACATTTTTTTCCTTAAGGGTATATAAATATTGACGAAGTTTATAATGGGAGTTAATTAATATATATATAGTATATGTAGAATCATTAGTGCTGTTTGAACTCCCAAGACATCCAAAGGCTAAAGCATTCATTTTATACTTTCAAATAGAAAACTATAACCCACTAAAGTCCTACAACATATACTATTCTACTAACCTCGGTCAGGATAATCAATCCAAAGACTGCGAAGAAGGTGATGACGATAAGGAAGCTCATCCCAGAGCGCTCCCTGGTGCCCCACTGCTTCTTGCCGCGCTTCATTGTGGGTGTCAGCGAGGTGCGGCCTCCGTGGTGATGATGTTGGTGATGGTGGTGGTGCTGCTGCTGCTGCTGTTGATGCTGATGCAGCTGGTGCTGAAAGCAGGCGTGGGAGTGACCTTGCTGCCCGTAGGCAGACTGATAGTGACCCACCAGCAGGGACGAGGAGCTGGCGGAGGTAACGGAACCCGCGGAGCCGACGGAGCCCCCCGGGGATTGCTGCTTGTACTGGGGGGGGCTCCGGCTATTCAGCATGTTGGAGTGCAGGGAGCAGGGGATTAGTGTCTCGTCTCAAGCTAATACCTTAATCCTTTGTTCTTGGTTGGTAGGCTTTAAGTCTTTTTGTGCAGCGAATCATTGAGGCTTATTCATAATTTTTCTATAGTTTTTGTTTTTGTTTTTATATTGTTTTATTTACATTTTGCGCGGAAGCTTCAGCGAATTTGTTTATTTGCGAATGAGCTTAGCAAAACAAAAGGGTGAAAGGAGAGCGGCGGCAGGACTCAGTTAGAGAGAGGATATGGCAAAGCAGAGAGCGGAGAGAAAGTTCTCTCTTTGGGCACTTTCTTCCTGGCCAATTACAAAGGAAAAATCAATAAAATCTTTGCAACTAAACCGTAATATATTATTTCGTGAATTGAGGCCTTATTAGGCAGAAATAAGCTACGTTTTTGGCTTTAATCACGTGTTGGTTAAGTTTCGGCTTCAACTGCTGCATTTTCATTCATTTTCACTGAGTGTCTTGCCGCAGTTGACAACTTTCCACATTCATCACCTTTTTGAAAGCCTTCACTTCCTCAATGTGCAGGTGTTTGTTAGGTTTGATTTTGTTTACTTAAGGTGTCACTTTCTTGTGAAACATAGTCTTAGCTATGTCTTAGGTTAATTTTTGCAAATTTCTGTGCAATTGTGTAGGATTTTAACGAAAATTGTACTCGCGACGACAACAGCAGGAAAACAATGCGGCACAGCTGAGAAGCTTGGGGCGAAGGACATGCGCACAGGACATAAAGCGCAAGCAGCTGACCAAAAACATTGCCAGACTTGTACAAAAATTAGATAAGCCTTTAAAAAGAATAGCTTAAAGCGACATTAAAGTTCTTAAAAATAATTTGAGTAATTTTTCTATTTTACTGTTTTAGCACTTGGTCTCTAAGATAAGGCAATACAAAGATAAAACTTACAAATTTTGAAGGCATTTAAAAATTAAAATGCAGGTACATTGTCTATCCATTTCTCGTATTTTATTAGCTTGTCCTGCTGTCATATATTTTTAACGAAAATTCCGAATTAAAGACTGGATTATCATAAGGAAAATAGTTTTTTTAGATACTAAAACTTTATTTCTGAAAAAAATATAGAAAAACCTTTCAGAATATCCTTTCCTTTCCCCCAGAATCACATAAATCCCCATAATTTTAACGCCTTCCATCACAAAGTTCTCTACTAAGAAATCTACTCAGACTTTTCCCACTTACTGCCAGTTCGTCATTTATGGATTTACCTTTGTCTCCCTCAGTCCCGACTGGACAAAAGAAATTAGCGGAAGCAATAAAGTTTCGAAAACTTTTGAAAACCAATAAATTCCGAGTGTTGGAAATCAATTGGGAACAAATTGCAACAGACAAAAAGGACGACAGATAAAAGGGAGCCAATTGATATGGGTGTGGAAATGGAATGTGTGCTTGGCTAGCTGCATATATGTACATATATATCTATATCAATATGTGGCTACGTACTCACTCTCATTCATGGCATTCCCCTATTTCCACTTGATATTTGTGCGAACATTTTCGCCAAGCAATTGTAAAGTTTGGAAAAACAAATATGCAAAGAAAAAGGTGCTCGGCACAGTTGGGGCAAACACTTTTGTTTGTTTAACTTTTGTTATCGCATACTTTGGGGTACGATCACAATGGCAAAGTAATGGCCGGAACCGGCTAAGAGCGTAGATTCGAATTCGAGCCAAGCTTAAAGTCCCGAGCAACTCAGAGAACTAAGACCGGTGTGTGCCTTCTAATGCAGAGCAAATACCAAGTCAGGCCGGTGTAATGTAATTTAAGTAAATATATGCGGAGGCATCACTAAATTAATGAAGAATTTACGCCCCCATTCAGAATAATTCCCATTATCAAGCTTAAATATCGTTTTGTTGTTAAGACGCTGTGCATACATGTAATTGCATAAATTGTTTTGCCTGCCGAAACGAAACCAAATAGTTCAGCAAGAATCAACAAAGTGATTGCCAACGGAGGCAAATACAAAATACAACAGCTGGAGTGGCCAGGAGGACTCCAAACCGAACCGAACCCCCTGCCTGGCGCTAATCCAACTCGGAGGCAAACACTCGAAGACGTCCGCTGCTGCACCTCAAGTGAGATTAAATAAAACTGCAGGAAAATTGAAATGAAAATTCGGCAGGGCAAACACAAATTCGAGACAAGTTATAGCAGCATCTATGAGACGGCTCCCCGCCGCCTCCGCCTCCGCCTCCGTCTCCCCTGAGCCCATCAGCCGCAATCCATTGCTGGCTGCCGAAAATATTTCATTTATACAGATAGACCCACTTACATATATTTGCCGGAAACTTCCTCGTCGAAGTGGGTTGCGGCAGCTTAAGTTACTGCCGGGCCGTCTCAGCACCTCTCCAATATTTCGCAGGCACAGACAACTTAACTTTGATGAGTTTGCAAAGTAAAATGGTGTAAGGACCGACTCACCTCACAGGCCCTGCCGCCGTGCGTACAGCGATGATTAAAATATCAAAAATAAGATCCGTCTGCAGCTAGTGGCAGGAATTGATATAAGTAGCCCAAAAAGTACTACCAAAAACTAATAAGGCGGTACTTACACATCCAGCAAGCGACTTGTTTGAAGAGTAAATTAATAACTAGCACTAACTTGTGACAGGGAATGAAGTATCTTTGGACTTATTAGGTAAGCAAGTGGGTCTGTTTACAAGGGAACAGGAAATAAAACTTTTAGAAGAGATAAGAAATCCTTGGAAAATCTTAAAAATTAATAAGCAATTGCACTAGTCATGTACTTGAATATTTCAGTAATTAAATTCAAGGAATGTCTTAATATTAGTTATTGGCATCCCGATAGATTAGCTTATTGATTAAATAAAGATTAAACCTCCAAACTTTTCACTTATTCCAGTGCCCAGAAAGCAGAACTTTATTTAAGTTTCAGAAGGATGGACACGCCATCCTGGCTTGTGGCAAACTCAGAAATCAATATAAAGAAAACCCTTGAAAGGAGATCGGTTGCGTAAAAAAAAGACTTTGATTGAACGAGAGACTCTCCGTCTAGCCATAGAGCTGAAATGCCGTGAAGAAAACGACGTAGCATGCTTCCAGGCATTTCATTAAATTCACTTCATTTTGATGCTCTCGTTATCCGTGGAAAAGGATGAGGACAATGATGTCTGGAAATGGCTTACAGCACTGCGGGCGCACATCTGCCGGATGCGCGGGTTGTTTGGTAATTTCCTTAACGGAAGTGCATGCAATTGCAAGACCATAATAGGAAGAGCCAGGATATGGCGCTTTGACTGCCGGCTGGAGTTGGATATGGTCAGTGTTCGACAGGCCACGATGTATGTATGTGGGTGTATATATATCTAAACCATGCAACATACCTTTTCTTATGAAAAAATAAACCAACTAATCTCGTTTCCATAGCCAATGAGTTTTGATTGCTGGCCACAGAAACACTTTTAAATTGATTTAGCACTTTTTGGTTGGACACAAAAGCCACAAAGAGCCAATGGGAAACCTAACACTACTTGCATACATTTCTCTACATACGGACCCTGCTTTTTACATTCCTTCCATAAACTATATATTCAAGTTAATTTCGTATTTTTAGGCCCTTTCCGCCTTGGCCATTAGGCTGAGTGCCAGGCGAGGGCGGCGGATGCTACTAAAATTCTCTGCAAATTAGTGTGAAAAGGGTGGGGGAAACCCATCAAATGCAGAGACCGCAGGTCTGAGGCGATTCCGACATAAATTCAATAGAACGATGGCAATAAGTGCATTAGCAGCATATTTCACAGATTGGCAGACACGTCGCTAGATGTGGTCCGTGGCCAGCCGAGAAGGAACCAGAACCAGCCAAGCAGACCAGACTACGCCGGCCAGCAGCAGCCCAGAGCAGCCCAGACAGTTGCCAAGACCAAGCAGTAAGCCACAAATTGCATGAGATCATAAATATTTCAAGCATAAAGTACAAAATATGCAAAAGTTTTCTATTTTCCTTTAACGTTCTGTTCGCCTTGGCTATTGCTATTGCCATTGCCAATGCCACGGCAGTTGGATCGGATCCAGTGCTGCCAATTTGTGCATTTCCCAGGACAGATATGACCACTTTAAGGCTAAGGAGAAAATATAGGAAAAGGCAGACAGATCAGGGAAAGTCGTTACTTATTAATTTATACATGGAATGGAACCTTATTTTAAAATATATATTAAATATCACCAGAGGTCTGATATGTTTATAATCTGAGAAAATGATTATTTATTAAAACATCGAGATTAAGTTAAAATAATTAAGCTCCAAGAGGATTACTTTTAATCTCTAATACATAAATTTAACACTTATTTTATGTATCCAAAAATGATTAAACAAATATTCCCCATTTTAAAAACGCTTGCTGGCATCACTAGTTGCTGCTGGCTGTTGCAGTTGCCCAGATACAAGGGACGTCAAACGGAGTAAGAAAAATATATTGCTAAATTCTCGCACAGGAAACGGTTGCTGCAGCGGCAGCAACAGCCAGCGGGTGGACAGCGGACAGGACCCTTCCGTATTCCGCAGTCCGCTGTCCTCAGTCCACAGTCCACAGTCCTTAGTCCGGAGTGGCGAGTCCAAAAAGGCCGGAGTCCGCTGTCCGGCACGTGCACTGCCCCGAAATGGCAAACGGAAGTTCAAAAGAGCAAAGAGCATGTAACGCTATTTCGGTTCTCTTTTCTGCATTCCCGAGTCGAATGGCCAAGCGATTGCGGGCAACAAATTTGCAATAAGCAATTTTTCAATTTTCAATTTAGGCAGCAAGGACAACGGCCACGGGTGGACAAGGATATGCAAAACAGCGGCCACATATCGCGCAGCCATAATTCAACAGGAGTTGTCCAAATCCGATTCTCTTCTGCACATTGGACAAATGAGCGTTCTGAAGCGGAAAACGGAAACGTCAACCAGGATATAGCAATGCCTTCACACTTGGCATTAATTATGCTTCATTTGCACAGAGCCTTGTTGCCTTTGAGAGGATGATTAGGGATCATCTTTAGCTACAATTTTAATTAAATTATTTTTATTATTTATTTTACTTTACTTTTTAATGATTAAAGCTTATATTTAATTTGCATCCATCGTTGCCGGATCACCAGGGTCGCCAGGATGAGCCACATGATGCAGGCCACGTAGGGATACATGGAAGCCTCTTCTGTCTCTGAATTCTTCAAGATAAAGACAAAGTTCCGGTAGTTCTGCTCGCACTCGACACAATCTCTAAAGTCCACGTCTACATAGTCATCCTCGTTCCAGAAGAACATTTGGCCACGAGCAGGAGCCAGAACAAGTCCCAGAAACTGCACCAGCAAACAGAATCTTTGGCTGCCCATTTGGGAGTCCAGACCAGGTGTGTTACTGGCAACACCAGCTCTGGCCCTTTTATAAGCCGGAGCAACAACCATCTGGTCATGCGGCTTCCCAAATTGAGGTGAAAAAGTAATGTGATCATGGCAATTCGCCAGATTTTGCAGTTTGGGTTTACTCAATGGAGAGAACTTTAGGTACAGGCCTTACACCTGGGCTTTGTCGTTTTATAAACAATACTGTTTGGTTATTCATGGAAGTTGGCAAAATAAATGTGTTTAGGAATATATATTCTTGGAATATTTATTTATTTATTGTTCCGATCAGCTTAAACCATATAGTGCCTTATGTCTAGTTCCCTTTCCCTTAGCTTCAGATCGATCCACTGCCGGTAGAACTGAAGGTTCGTGTAAATGCCCAGCAACTGGGTCCCATCGCACCGGACCGGCCTAGCCAGCAGACCGGCCAGAAGGAAGCGGTCATCATGACCGGGAAGGGGACACATGAGAGGCACCCCGGCCATCTCAACGTCCCCGCAGACAAAGTCACCTTTGTCGCCACCCGCGCACAATAATGACTCATTATGGGAGTGCCGCCGCCCCAAAACAGAGAGTCGCATCTTGGCCCTGCACTGATCCGGTGGCAGGGCGTAGAGAGTCCATCGCTTGGGCAGGATAGCCTTTCCGCCAAAGTCGCTCCTCTGCCAGCCGGACACATAGCACTGGCTGTAGTTGTACACCATTTTCGGAGGCGGCAAGCAAATGGGCTGGACATTGGGGCTGAGGCAAAAGGGAGAATCCTGGGCCACCAGGATCACCGCTATGTTGTGGACTAACGGTATTTGCGTATAGTTTGGATGCAGCAATAGCTCCATCACCGATCTCTCCTGGTGCGGCTGAGGTTCCAGTTCCACGGCAGCATCCCACTCCCCGGCCACCAAGCGCAGACTCTCCGATTTCTCGTTCTGCACACAGTGGGCCGTTGTGATCACTGCCACTGGTGTGATAAGAGCTCCGCTGCACAGGTAACCTTCTTTGGAGTAGATGGCCGTGAGCCAAGGAAACTCCCCAAATTTCGCCTCCTGCTGCTTGTAGCCCAGTGGCCGCAGATAATACCAGAGATCATGGCGGCCGCCACATGTCCAGTTTTGAACTTCTTGAGGAAGTAAAGGTGCGGGAAGCTGTTGGTATTAATTTATCTTAGAAATCTTTTATATAGAAACCATTTAAAATGCTTCATACTCACAGTATCCTGGTTATTACAGCACTTTTCCATATAGTGACAGTTCTCATCCAGCGTTGTTCGACTCCGATCCGCATAGAATTTTCCGTCGACGTACAAGCCCTCATTGCATTGCTCATACGGCACACACTGCTTGTCCTGTCCGCAGTTTCGAAAGGCCTCTGGCGATGGTTTTACGGAGCAAAGGAGCGATAGAGCCACAATCTTAGGGAGCCACATGGCAGCTAAGCCTGTCCCTGATCAGGTGCATTTGACTTTACCTCCTATTCTGGCTTAGGCTTTTATAGACCTCTTCTTGATTGGGTAAAAATAGATTTAAGTGCGCCCACTGCGACCCATTAAAGAGCTAAAAATAGGCATTGGGCTGGGAAAAGGGGGCTGGACCCGGAGCCATTGACGTCTGAAAGAGCATTAAAAAGGGGTAAACAAAATTTAACAAAGTTGTATTCCCTTAATTTTTAAAAAAGAAATAAACTTATGGTATAAAAATAAAAGATAAGAAAATTAAGTTAATAAATCATATTAAAATTATATGTACGCCACTGCCAGGAGCAATCAAATACTTGGTTTTGGCAATGGGTACTATAAGTCTATCTATTTGCACCCTTTTATTAAAGCCTATGAATGAATATAAAACTTAGAAAGCACAAAATAACAAATATTATTTTAAAATAATCCAAAATATATAAATATAATATAAAAAACATCACAAAAAAATTTGCTTAAAAGTGCAATTGAAATAAATGTAAATACCTTTTAAAAGTATGGAGTAAAGTATTTAAATCTTAATATACATAAATATATCGTTACATGTACATTTTCAATGTATTTTAATACCCATTTTCCTTTGCTAGATGTTAATTTAAAATTCAATTATATTAAAACTATTTTAAAATCTGCATATCCGTATATAAATAATACTTCGTATGTAAATACGTACTGGCACCATGGGAACACAGGGTAGCCATTCTGGGCTCAATTACTTAGATGTATCTTGCCTCAGTTTGCCGACACCAACACGTATCCGCATCTATTACGGAGCACTCGGATAAGACGGAGGCGGAGATGGGGACGGAGGATGCTGTAGGTGGATTGGATCAGCTGTGCACTGGCTCGAGTTTTGCGTCATATCTTAATGCACAATCGTCGCCTAAGTGCACGTAAATTGAATAAAATTTCGACAAGTTTTAATACACAAGACATGCATACAACACTCGGAGGGAAACAAGGTGGCGACAGGGCGTCACAACTGGAGGCAGTGGGCGGGCGGGAATTGAAATGGATTCCTTGCAGTTCGATAGACACACAACTCATGCGGAGTGCTGGGGGTGAGTATGTGTGTGTGTGTACTTGGACATATTTGTTGCACTTACTTGTTTGGCTGAGATTTACGCAACTTAAACAGATTGTCAACAGGAGTTGTGAAGTATGGGATCCAATGGAGCCAGCTGAAGGACGAAGGACACCAGAAGGAAGCCAGGCAAAACACGCGTCAAATGTGTAGAAAGTTAACGTGTCCTGTGCCTGCTGGTCCTGGTCCCAGCTCTCTCCCCGTCCCCGTCCCGTACCCGTACGAAACTTAATTTGTTCAATCGTGTTGCAACACTTCGGAACAGATGTTATCCTCGAGGAAATGAATTCTGTTATTGTCCGCACATAGTCATATTGTTGCAAGCCATCAAATTATACAGATTTATGAACATGTCGCGCCCACCACATACGCACATCTCATGCTCATTCCAGGATTCGGGCTTTGGCAAATATTCAATTATTTTGGAAATTTATTATAGCAACTCAATTGAAAGGATAGGAAGTTTATTTTGCAAGGCTAATACATAAAATATAACTAGTTGGGCTTTAGAATATAAATCAATTAGCTAAAGCTTTATGAGTGAGAGAAAATAAATAAATTGATTAAGTGAGACAAGAATTTGTTACAAAATATTGTATTTAAGTCATATATTTATTATGGCTTTATTGGTAATTTAAAACATCAATATAGTTTAGTATTTCATGTAAATTTTAAATGGTTTGTAATATAGACCTTGTCTTGGAAAAGTAGGAATTACAAATAAATGTTCAAAAGTTATTTTTGTTTACCTATTGTTTAATTTAAATTAGTCTTAGCTTTTATTTAAGCTTTAGAAAATTTTGAAAACTGATTGTTAAATCTAGAAATACAATAAAATCAAGATAAGTCGTATAACCTTTGGTTTAAGTACGTAAAATAAGTCGCAGCTTGAACACATTCTCATCTTGCTATTCTATTTTAAATCGAGATTATATTCAAGGATTTTTAGGCTCAGGTCAACGCTCAATGCAAGGATTTTCTCAACCGAATTCAGTTTGAGAACTCTCGTGTTGAGTGAGCCAATTCGGTCTCCCTTACCAATTGCATCGGAATGGCTCTCTTAAATGCAATTGAGCCAGCTCAAAGGTAGGTGGAACGAGTGGTTTATCAGGAATACTCAACAGAAACTGTAAACTCAAGTCTCAAAAGTTACCGAGGAAACATTGAGTGGGACTGAGTGAGTTAGAACATCGTTTTTACATGAAAACGTAACAGATAATGTCAAAATTTTAAACAAAAATCACAAGAAATTATGTTAACCAGTTTCTCCTAATTTATTTTGTAAATATTAGAAAGGCATCGATTATTTACATAGTATATAATATGTACCAAAAAAATGTTTCATTAAAGCAGCGCAAAAAAACAAGCACAAACACATTTACCGACCGTTGATACTCCTAACTAAATAAATAAAAACTCGTGTGATTTTTTATAAAATTAATTTACATGTTCATTAATTTGACTTTTGCATTATTTTTACATATTTCCGGACAATACAAATTACTGCAATATAATGATTTTTATACCCTTGCCGGACATTATAATTTAGGTCAGAGCTTAGTACGCAGTAAAGGAGTCATTTCCGACCCTATAAATCATATATATTCTTGAACAGCACCAACAGCTAAGTCGATTAAGCCTTGTCTGCAAGAAAAAAAAAATTCAACATTTTTTGAAAATTTTATAAGGGGTTACATCGTTAAAATCTTCAAAAATTGGCCAAAATTTTAATTCAAGAAAAAAGTTTGATTCAGTATGCAGATTTGTTAACCTTTTTAAAAGTATCACAGAAAAGCTTTTCGAATTAAAATTAATGCATTTTTGGCTTAGTTATGATCGATTTTCGATTCAGTCCCTAATCCTATTACCATGTACAAGGGTATATAAGATTCGGCTACACGAACTTATATTTTTTTGTCGTATTATTATTTCTCTTATTATTATAACATAAATAAAATAAGTAAAACTGATCAAATAATAATGATAATGCAAATGCCTTTTTCGGCATATAAACTACCTGTAGTAGAAAAAGTACTACCTGTAAAGGAACAAAATATTACCTGCGGAGGAACGCATAGACGAACAAACGGACATGCATTGAAGAAATCCGCTGTTCATCCTGATCAAGAATACATATACTTTAAAGGGTCGCATGTCTTCTTTATTTACCTAAATCATACCTTTTGCAAGGTCATATCGAATACTTACCGAGCTGCCTTTAAAATACGATCAACTCAAGTACTTTGAATCTCATGTTACATATACTACGTTTGCTTTTATTTCAATATCAACTTGGAGGATAGCTTGAACATAAAATGGCCTACAAGCAATGGTACATTAAGATTTAATTGTATCTACTAAGAGGTTAGGGGATGTCTTATGCGGGTCTCATAAAAGTAGAAAAGTATACAAGCAGCAAAAAGCAATATACATTCTTTTTGTATATAAAAGTGTTTATATCATAAGGGTTATAAGTTCTTGGAAGAAAGCCTTGCGCACAAATCAAGGATATAATAAGGACTGTATATGGAACCCCCATAAGACATGCTTGTGCAGAGGAGAGCTGTTTCCGTGTTCTCCAAAGACAATTCATAGAGCTGAAAGTGCTTCCGTAACATGCGATGATGACAACTGCTGGAGAGCCGGAGTACAGCACTTCTGGGGATATATTATTATATATATATATATTAATGCTCCTGATCCTCGTCAAGTCCCAGCCCCATTCCCGCCCGCTCCATGCGATGTCACAGAGTGTCGTTGAAGAGGCGCTTTGCTTTGAAACTAGGATGAATTGGGCCCGGCAGAACATGTGGCTTGAGGGCACTCTTACCGGGCAAGCGGTCAGCGTCGTAGGGTACTTGGGGCGACAGCTTCAGCTGGCGGTTGTAGTCGGTCTTGGTGTACTCGCTGTTGCACTTGGTCATGATCCTCACCCGTTTGACGCTGCCCCCCGGCTGTGGAGTGGCAAACTGAGCTCGCGCCGCGGGCGTTTTATTTGTAGACTTCTGCAGCAGCTTGGTGTTGGCCTGCTTCAGTTGTTGCTTTCGCGAGGGAACGAAGATTTCCTGCTCTCCAGCCTCCAAGGGGGCGTCCCAGCCGTTGGCTGCTTTCTGGGTGGTCTTGGGTGATTCTTTATCCTTCAGTCCTGCAGCCTTTGTCTGCGGTTCCGGCTGAACTTCGGGCGTGGGTGTCGCAGTCTTCGGCTGCTCGTCCTTCTTGGGCTGTTCTTCTATTTTTGGATGGGACTGCTCTTCTTTATTGGCCTGGGTCTGTTGCTCCTTCTTCGGCTTCGCCAGCTCTGCCTTCTTGGTCTTCTGCTGCTCTGGTTTCTTGGCATTGAGCTGCTGGTCTTTTTTCGCTTTCTTCTCCTTCGGTTTGACCTCCGCCTTTTTGTCTCCTACATCGGATTCATTGACTTTTTCCACCACCCAGGCACTGTTGATGCTGGAACGCACCTTTGCATTATGCTTGACCTTTTTCTGCAGCTCCGGGGGCAAGGCCTTGCCAATGATCTCGTCATAGTTGTGCTCGTCCACCTCCTCAAAGTTGATGGACTGCAGAAGCTTTTTGCGCTTCGACTTGTTGAGCTTTTTGAGTTTTCTTCCGGTGCCATAGACCTCGTCCTCCATCTTCTCGATGTTGGCCACCTTCTCTTCTACCATCTCGGCCAGAGTCTGGCCTTCCACCTTTGGCATGGTGCGCACACCCAGTGGGAACTCGCCGCCCTTATAGGTCTCGAAAATCTGGATTAGCTTGCGCAAGGCTTTGCGTCTCTTGCTGTTGAAGTCATTCGTGCGGATGAGGGTCTGCAGCTCATCAAGTACGCAATCTGCGTTAAGGGGCAGCTCTGGCATGTGCACGTCCACGTTGCCCGCCCGGGGATCTAGCGAAGTGGTCCGCGGCGTCTCTTCGTCAGCTTGGACCTCGTCTTCCTCCTCATCAAAGCCAGAGTCCAGTTTTTCAATGTCATCAATGGAGGCCGTGGGGAAGCCCATTAGCTTCCAGGCATTGTATTTCTCGCTGTACTCACGGCCCAGGTCGCTTTGATACAGCAGGTGGTACAGCACTCTTGTCCGGCACTGGGCCACCAGCTTGGGATCGCGCTGCGTGGCCAGGTAAGTGACAAAAGGACGCAAGAAGATATTGACCTGGGCGGCAGTGATCTCGCCATCGGCCGCCTTGGCCAGTTCCTCGAAGAATATGTCCAGATAGTGCATGGTGAGGCCGCGACTCTTGGGCTGCTCGGAAAGGACGGACTGCAGCATGCGGTTGTTGAAGGCATTGATCAGCTCCGCTGACCACTTGCTCTGCTTGAGCAGCCGCAGCATGTACCGCAGCATGCGACGGACAAGCATTAGGAACTTATCCATGCGCCACTGATCGATGCCGAAGAACTCCTGGCACATGGTGCGCATAAATGCACTGAAGTAGGCCAAGCTGCAGGTGGTGTTACCGCCGAAGCTGTCCACCATCTGGGCCAGCTGCTCGGCCAGTTCCTCCTGGACCAGCGGCTTGTCCGACATCCACATGGTGTAGTACAGACCCTTCCAGATCCGCATGAAGTCGTCCTCGTTGAAGGGGTACGAGCTGCTGGCCCGCAGTTTGAACCACTTGCGTAGTTTGCGGATCTGGCGATTCCGCTGGGTCACATCGTTACAGGCCAGGGCCCGCACCATCTTGACCTCCTGGGCCACGACCAGCACCTCCTTGGGCACCTTGGCTTGTGTTGCCGCCTCGTCCTCGTCGTTGTCGATGGCCGCCGCCTCGGCGCTGCGCTTGACTGGCTTCTTGCGCGTTACCATAGTTCTGTTAATTCAACTTTAATTTGCGAAAAATTATTGTGCTGTGTGTATTGAATGCGGCCTGCACGTGTTGCAGCTAGCGTGACCGTTTGTTAGCCGTTAGGGTATTCCGCCGGCAGCTGAAAAATATACTGCCTTGAGTTGTATATCAACGAACGGATCGATAATAAAACAAAATAAACCAATATGGCAAATAAATTGTTTAAAAACAGAAAGAAATAATTAATTTAATAATATAGCTACAGGATTTTAATTCAATTCTACTATATCATATTTAATTCATAATTTAAATAAATAAATATTATTCTAACACACTCAAAAATACTGCAAGTGAAAGGTAATGGAATACGGTCTGCACATAAAAATACTGTAAGCTGAGTTTTTCAACACTGCCAAGCAAAACCCACTTTACAACACTAATCACAGCTGATAATCGGCCTGCTTTTTTTCAATTTACTCAATTTTTCTCGGTAAATTAATTTAAATACAATATAAAATGCCCGTTGTGGTCGTGACTGAAGCCGAGGAATACCAGAAGCGCATAAATGCGGACAAGACGACCGTGGCCCTGTTTGCCGCCGACTGGGCAGAGCAATGTGGTCAGGTAAAAGATGCGCTGGAGGAGCTGTCCAAGATAACAGGAGACAAACTGCAATTCATCAGCCTAAATGCCGAACAATTTCCAGAGATTTCCATGAAGCATCAAGTGAGTTACCTTCATGTGCACAGAGAAAACATACTAACCATAAGAACTACTCCAGATCGAAGCTGTGCCCACAGTCATCTTCTTTGCGAAGGGCTCGGCAGTGGACCGCGTCGATGGTGTGGACATTGCAGCCATTAGTAGCAAATCCAAGAAATTGGCCGAGAGTGCCAGCAGTGCTGCGGCCACTGGTCAAACTCTGGAGGATCGTCTAAAGGCCCTGATCAACACGGCTCCGTTGATGATATTCATGAAGGGCGACCGGAATGGCCCGCGCTGTGGATTCTCCAAGCAGCTTATCGGGATTGTAAACGAAACAAAGTAGGGTTTGGGGCGTCCATTGTATTTCACCTTTTATTAACTGGAAACTCTGTATTTCTGTATTAGTTTGCCGTATGAAACCTTCGACATCCTGGGCGATGAAGAGGTGCGCCAGGGCCTTAAAACTTTCTCCGACTGGCCGACATACCCGCAGGTGTATGTCAAGGGCGAATTGATTGGCGGACTGGACATCATCAAGGAATTACTGGCTAACAATGAACTCGAAGCAACGCTTAAGGGTTGATTCCATCCTACTCTCCCTCAGGACACCACAAATCAGGAACAAACTATTTTGCTAAGTCCATTGATTTTTCATATGGATTAATAAAGACGAAAAAAAAAACTGTATTTTGAAAGCGATATTTTCTTGTATTCATCTATAAATATACAGCAAGCCATAAATGTACACCCAAATTCAAAGGCGAGGGCATACAAATCATATCAAATCAATCAAAACCAAAATAAATTGGTTTTTAATTGGTAAAAATGAAGTCAACTATATTATTTTAATATAAATTTTAATAATAGAATTAAACATAATCTGGGTACTGAATTACTGAAAATATCGGGTCTATATTTCAACTGAAAACAGCTCTTCCCATACAGTCAGTCATTCTCACATCAAGGGAATGTCCAGAATCATGATATAATTATAATTGTATCATGACCAGAATAATTTAGATTCGAATAAATGTATTTTTATTTCATTTCCGATAGTTTTTTAATTCTAAACTGTGTTAATCGATAGTGTCATCTCTAACAGCCCCACCACCCCTAGGCCGTTTGCCTGTGACTGCCAAAATAAGCAAGAAGAAGAGACATAACAAACGAACGTACGTTTTTTTGCATTGTAAAAGTGGAATAAAGTAGAGTAATTCTACGCTTCTGACGACCACACAGACGACCCAAGGACGGAAAACAATGATCCCGCTGCCGCTGCAAACCACAGAATAAATATAGAGCTGGTGCGTCAATATGACGTGCCTAACGTCGTCATGCATATTTTTCTTTGTTGTCTTCCACGGCTGCAGACATTAGTGTATATTAGTGTTGAGACTCGAATCTGGTGCACAACGCATTTGCCCGAAAAATCTAGTTTTACCTCTAGGAATTCATTTAATTTCAGTAATTCATCGCATGGGAGTGGCGGCATCATGGATCCGCAGAAAATCACCGAATTGGCCAACCTGATGCGCCAGAATGGCGACAAAATACTAAGCTCGGAGTTTACCCTAACGTTATCAGGTGCGGAAGCATGCGGGCCGTGGCTGATCCACATTCGCTTACTAATTATGGGTTTCCTCGGTGTTTCTCCACAGGTTCCCTTCTGAGGGCGCTGAACGACTCATTCACTTTGATTGCAGACACTGAGATCGGCGCTGGCGCTGGCTCCCTTTCCCAGCAGCAGCAGCTCTCCTTCCAGGTGGTGAAATCCATCAATGCCAAGTCCAGCGTCTTCCCCGACCTCCAGCTGCTGCACGACTTTGTGCAGAAGACAACGCTGCTCAAGCTGACCTACTTTCCCAGCGAGCTGTACTTCGAGGGCGCCATTGACATAGCCAAGTTCAGGGCCTTGAGGCGACTGGAGGTGCACAAGATCAACATTGGCCAGGTGGTGGGCATCCAGCCGTTGCGTGGCCAGCTGCAGCATTTGATCTGCATCAAGAGCTTGACCAGTGTGGATGACATAATCACGCGCTGCGGCGGCGATAACTCCAATGGCTTCGTGTGGAACGAGTTGCAATCGGCCGATTTCAGCTACAACAGCTTGCGCAGCGTAGACACGGCCTTGGAGTTTGCCCAGCATCTGCAGCATCTGAGCCTGAGGCACAACAAGCTGACCAGCGTGGCCGCCATCAAGTGGCTGCCGCATCTGAAGACCTTGGACATAAGCTACAACTGCCTCACGCATGTGCCGCAGTTCCACATGGAAGCCTGTAAGCGGCTGCAGCTCCTGAACATCAGCAACAACTATGTGGAGGAGCTGCTAGATGTGGCCAAGCTGGATGCCTTGAACCATTTGGATTTGTCGGACAACTGCCTGCTGGAGCACTCGCAACTGCTGCCACTGAGTGCCGTGGTCACGCTGACCATCCTGAACCTACAGGGAAATCCAATGGCCTGCCACCCGAAGCATCGGCAGGCGACGGCCCAGTATCTGCACAAGAACTGTGCCTCAGTCAAGTTTTTACTAGACTTTGAGCCACTCTCAAAGGCGGAGAAGAGCCTGACAGGCAGCCAAAAGTGGCGCTACATTGGCTCGCTCAATAACCATCGACTGCCCAGGAGCTGCTCCGTATCCATCAACAGCTCCAGTGCTTCAATCAACACCAGCGATGGCTCCCAGTTCTCCAGTTTTGGCTCTCAGCGTTCCATCTCGATCCGGGGCAAGGACTACTCCTCGGAGGCGGAGCAGTCGGAGGCCATGGACACCTCGCAGATCAGCAGAAAAAGTTCTAGTCGCATTCGGACAGTGGAAATAGAGGAGCAGTCAGAAGAGCCCGAAGATGTCATCGTTCCCAAGGTTCAAGTCGTGGCCATCAGGCCGGAGACTACAACCGATTCCTCGCATTTGGAAACAAAGAAACAAATCGAAACGCTGCGCCTCACTTACGGCAACGAGTGGCTGAAGACCGGCAAAGCCGAACTTATGCTGGGCATCGAACCCACCGAGGCGGAGCGCAAAGAGGCACGCCAGCAGTTTAACGAGTTCTTCAGTGAGCTTTCCACCTCACCGTCGGCGGGGATCTTAAGCTCCACGCCGACAAATACAAATCAAGTGAGTTCCAATATCGACAATACCCTGACGCCCATCAAGTCGGAGGAGGAAGCTGAGGAGTCTGCTGATAAAACTATTTACGAGACCTGCGACGAGGGTGACGAGACCAAGTACGAAAGCACTGAAAGTACCTCTGTTGAAGCTCCGGAGGAGCCACTGCTTGACAAGCACTCGGAGCTTTTAAATCTATATGCAAGCAGCTCGAATAATGCTGAGGATGAAGATCCAGGTAAGACATTAGGGGTCTCTTTTGAAACTGAACATAATATTTTTTATAATATTTTGCAGTATCTGAGGCGGAGCCCGACGAAGAGACTTACATTGTCTATCATGAGCAAAAGCCCAGCGAGGCCTTGTTCCTCACCATATCCTCGAATTTTATACGCGAAAAGGATACCTTAAGCGAACGGTAAGTGGAAAAATAAATAATAATAATAAATATTTTCTTAAAAAAGATCTTTTTTTAGGACCAAAACCAAATGGAGTCTGAAAATTCTAGAGTCATGTGAGCGCTTGAAGGCGAATACTTTGCGAATTAACTTTGATACAATGCGAAAGGATAAACAGGAGCGTATATATTGTGTGGAAAATACATTGTGTCAGGAACTGGAAAAGAAACTGCGCGACATTCTTGCTCAGCGCGATCTCACCGAAATGAACATAACCATTTATCGCTGTGTGAATTGCTTGATACAGTTTACCATTGAGCAGAAGAACAAGCGATATAAAACGGAGGGTAAGACTATTATGTCTATGTTTTATTTACATTTAAAAACTTGATTCAATTCTTAGAATTACGATGTCCCGATTGCCGCAGCGTCTATGTGGCTGAGGTCACGGACTTGTCCACATCCTTGGACAAAGCCTCACTGGAAGTGGCTTCAGAGCCAAAAATTTCGCCAGCTTTGATTGTGGAGGAGGTGGAAGTAAGGCAGCAGCCTGTGGTGGCGGCCAACAAGGAGGATAACAACAGCATTGGCAAGTCTTTAGACAAATTGTGGTGCATTTTAAACACTTTTATTGTGTAGTGCCAAGTTTATGGTTTACAGTTACAGCACTTTAATACTTTTAAGATTAAGTTTGGACATTAATACTGTGCATTTATTATTTAATTTGTATTTATTTCTTCTTTCTTTTGCATGCAAACACAAATCGTGAAATGGCAAATACCAAATCTAACTTCTGTATATTTACATTGTTCCCTTGTACTTTTTCTCTCACCCACCAACCGGAATCAATAACAAAAAAAAAATGGTTGTAATGTAAAAACTTAATTAACACCCTTTAGTGGCCAGCCAAAGCAGGGTATCAAACGCTAAGAATACACCCAAGCGTAGGACCGCAATAAGAAGTTAATATGCCAATTAGTATATAATTTTATTTCCTAACAAACAATTTGCTTTTGGCCTTTTGTTTATGGTTATGGGAAGCAGCAGGCTACCTCATATGAGATATATTTTTCATTATAATTGCGGATATATATAAAATCAATCATATTTGCTTTGGAACTAACAAAAATTGCCAACATTTAACGGGAAATTTGCTAAACTTTGTTTAAAATTTTAAGCAATGCTGCTTCCATTACAAATTTGCTAAAAACAAATAAATAAAGATAAATATGATGTATTAACCTCTTCTTCCCCCACCCCAGGCTCGGCCAACTCCTTGAACGAGAGCAGTTCATGCTCGAAAATAAGCAACTCGCAGAGCTCCTTCGACTCCAACCAGTCCGTGGTGGGTAGCTCGAACACAGATCGCGATCTGGAGTTTCGGGCCAACGAGAGCGATGTGGACATTATCTCCAATCCGAGCCAGTCCAGCATAGAGGTTTTAGATCCCAACTGCGTGCAAAGTTCTAGCCGCAAGACCTCCATGGAGCCTCAGACAGATGCTATCGGGCATTCGCAGAGCTTCATCGAGCGAGAGTTTGGACAACTAAGGGCGGAGCAGGTACCCGCAGCAGCGGCTACTTCCGCTCCCGCTGTGGCCCACATTCAGTTGACAGAGAGCAGCTCCTCGGGTTCTGTAACGGACAGCATATGCACCAGCTACGAGCAGCAGAGCAAGGATAAGCAGCTCACAGAGGCTCCCCCTGAAGCCGCCTCCAATGGCAGCCTCTCGGGCCTCAAATCCGTCTTCCAATCAACGAATCTACTGATGTCCAGCTCCAAGAAGCTGATTGATTCAGCAGAAGCCACTCAGCCCTACAAATTCAACTATAGGATCTTTGGCGAGATAGATCATCGCTTGAAGCTTTACTTTTATCAAAGCAAGTTCAAGGAGCAAGGCGAGCACTTTACGTGGCTGGCCAAGGGTAACATCTACAACGAGTTGACCAAGGCCACAGGAGAAGGGATTGTGGTGGTGTCCACCAGTAAATTATACCTCATGGAGGTCTTTGCACTGCCCCAAGATGATGTGTCCAAGTGGCTAAGGCAGGTGGTGTGTGTGCCCTTGGATCGGCTAATGGCCATAGAGTTGTTGCCCTGGAAAATGGGTTTGTCCTTTGCCTTGAAGGATTGGGGAGTATTTGCGTTGTTTCTTCACGATATGCTGAGAACAGAAAGACTGCTTCTTAGCTTGCAACGTAAGTGTACTGCATTTTAATATATAACAATATTTAAAATCCTAAAATGTATATTTTTTTTTATAGAAAACCCTCTACCAGAGCAGACCCAATTGAACATACAACCCCCTCCCAATCAGTTACAATCTGTGGAATTCGGGGAGCCCTTAAAGATGTGTGCCTTGCTGCCGAGCTGCCAGTGGAGTTGTGACCAGGAGAAGAAGAGCTTTGTGCCCTGCTTACTTCTCATCACAGAGTCTCATTTGTACCTCTCAGGGAATGGGAAATTCGCTTGGCTTTCAGAGAAAAGTCCGGAGAAGGCCATACCCGAATTAAGTCTCAGTCAGCCCATGAGCAATTTGGTGGATGTGGAGCCTGCCACGAACGAAAAGTATCTTATCAACTTTATTGACGATACGGAAAATAAGTGCGAGATCTGGCAATTGGACTTCGAAACCCATGACAACGCCGAACGCTGTTTGAATGCCATTGGCCAGGGCTGGGAGAAGCTCTTTGGTGTGCCATTCAGCTACTCGGGAACGTAGCCAAGAAGGGACCAACTCTAGGCTAGATCCCTACGCCATCCTTTTGAATGGACTATGTTATCTACATCCGATAAGCTTTATCTAATTGTTTTCTAGGCTAATGTATGAGACATGGTGCTTACTACAAAACAAGTGTATATATGTATTAATGAATGTAATGTACAATAATGATGGTTATTAATTATTAAAGCCTCTGCAATATTTACAAATTGAAATGATGTACAAATGTTATCAGAGTATACAATATATGGGGTAAATATAAATTGAATTTGTTTTAGGGGTAAGGTTAATTCGGTGCAAAACGGGCAATTTTCAAAAATTTGATGTGGCTAAAGTTAGCTATTTAAATTAAATACCATAGAATAACCCAACACTTAAACTATTTTGTGTTAAATAGTTCAAAATCGAACTTTTCAGGAGAGCGCTTTAAACTTTTTGACGCTCATACATGGAACACCAAACGACCTCGGTTCAACTACGTATAACTTCGTCAATTTGGTTACGATCTATGTGAAACTTTTACAAGATATTCTTAAGATATGTGACATTTATTATAAATTATTTTTATACCCTTTCAGGGTATTATAATTTCAGTCAGAAGTTTACAACGCAGTGAAGGAGACGTTTCCGACCCTATAAAGTATATATATTCTTGATCAGCATCAACAGCCAAGTCGATCTAGCCATAATTTATAGCTCAGCCAAAAACGCATGAAATTCAATTCGGAAAGCTGTTCTGCATTGGGATTTCTGCGTTTAACAAAACGGCTTACTCAGTTTTTCTTAAAAACTTATCTATAATTTAATTTAATTTTACATAGCTTTATTTCTTATATTTACAGCACTCCAATAGCGAAAACGAGAGCGTGCGCAGGGATCTGGGAAGCACAAGTTCATCAAGTTCATTTTAATTGTTGATTGATGATCACCTGATCGGCAGAGGTGAAGCTGGAGGAGCGAGCAGCTGGGATGACAGATCTCAACCCGATGGCAGTGGAGGACGGTGATCGGATCTTGACTCCGGGCTAGTTAAAACCCTGCAGCAGGCGTAAATAATTAAAATATTTATAAATGCAATTTAAATATGTAAATGTAATTGATGGAACTCACAAATATGAATCGATAAAAGATGGTGAAATCAATGTGCAATTTTTTTGTGAAGGCGGCATTTATTTGGGATCGTTTGGGGAAAAATCTAATTATTTTGAAAGCAAAATCTAAATTTTTAAATTTGTTTTCTGAATTTTAAACATTTTTTTCGGATATTTTACAATTCTTCTAAATTTTTAAAAAATTGTTCTAAATTTTTAAAATTTTGCTGAATTTTAACATTTTTTTCTGAATTTTTAAACATTTTTTAGATTTTTTATATTTATTTAAGATTTTTTTAGAATTAACCAATTTTTTTTTAAATATTTTAACTGCCAAATTTGAATTTGAATTTAACTGCCAAATTTGAATTTGAATTTAACGACGATCAGTTTCAGTGTGCCCAGGTGCAGTTGCAAAATAACACCTAAATTTGGATTCAAACGGTTTGAGTCTGCGCTAACTTTCGCCGGCTCCGAAATGGTTTGAAACTTGGACAAAATTTACAATATGGTCACACTGGCACGTTTTTCGTGGCCCAAAGTTTTTATAACAGTTTATAACAGTTTTCAGTTGCTTGCTGCTGGTTTCTGTTCGCCTGGTACCCCAATTTGGGAAACGGGCAATTTGCATGGAAATTTTTGGAAATTTGGATGGGCTGCTGCAGGGATGTTGTTGTAAAAAGGTTGTTGTTGCCATAAGCTTTTGTTGTCGGCAACAAATAGGTATAAATGCATAAAATGAAATATAACAGTTTATACCAATTATTATTTTTGCCCATAAGTTTTTATAACAGTTTATACAAGTTTTCAGTTGCTTGCTGCTGGTTTCTGTTCGCCTGTTACCCCAGTTTGGAAAGCGGCCAATTTGAATTAAAAGTTTTGCTCACTTGCATCAGTGATGCTCATCTGCATCAGTGATGCTCATCTGCATCAGTGATGCTCATCTGCATCAGTGATGCTCATCTGCATCAGTGATGCTCATCTGCATCAGTGATGCTCATCTGCATCAGTGATGCTCATCTGCATCAGTGACGCCCTATTGGGACAAAATGCATCTCTCTAACTGCCAGTGATGCTCATCTAGCTATTTTGCATTATTGGGACAAAATGGCATCTCACTAACTGCCAGTGATGCTCATCTAGCTATTTTGCATTATTGGGACAAAATGGAATCCCACTAACTGCCAGTGATGCTCATCTAGCTATTTTGCATTATTGGGACAAAATGGCATCTCACTAACTGCCAGTGATGCTCATCTAGCTATTTTGCATTATTGGGACAAAATGGAATCCCTCTAACTGCCAGTGATGCTCATCTAGCTATTTTGCCGTATTGGAACAAAATGGCATCTAACTAACTGCCAGTGATGCTCATCTAGCTATTTTGCATTATTGGGACAAAATGGCATCTCACTAACTACCAGTGATGCTCATCTAGCTATTTTGCCGTATTGGAACAAAATGGCATCTAACTAACTGCCAGTGATGCTGATCTAGCTATTTTGCATTATTGGGACAAAATGGCATCTCACTAACTACCAGTGATGCTCATCTAGCTATTTTGCCGTATTGGAACAAAATGGCATCTAACTAACTGCCAGTGATGCTGATCTAGCAATTTTGCAATATTTGATGTTTTTTCCATTGTCCACCGCAAGAATGCCATTCTATTGAGCCTGTTTAAATTATCCCACCCAAAAAAAAACCCGCAACCTCATAAGTTAAAAAGGTGAGGTATGTGGAAATGTCGGTGCCCCAGCACCTGGTCCGCTTTTACTCCTCCTCGTCCTGATCCTCCTTGCCAACGCTCTCTGTCTCGCCATCGGCATCCGCTTTGAGTTCCTGGCAGCATCCTGCAATTAAATTTAAAAAAGGATTGTTTTTGCGGAAAAAAACCAATATTCAAAAAATCATAACTAAGTCAAAAGTGCATGAAAAAATTTTAATGATGAAAAAAATCGAGAAGTTTTTTAATATAAAAAATCAGATTTTATAATACAAAATAATATTTTTCCAAGTCAAGGAATCATTTCCGACCCCTTAAACCATATATATTCTTGATCAGCATTAACATGCGAATCTTTCTAGACATGTCCGGAAGAAATCGATTTTTTGGCCATTTTTGCGAAATTTGATAAGGGGTAACATCATTAAAATTAGCAAAAATGGCCAAAAAATTTGATTTCTTAAAATTTTAAATTTGGTATGCAGTTTTTTTAAATTAATAAAAACTAACACAAAACTGCTTTCCGAATCGAAAATAATGCATTTTTGGCTTAGTTATTATATATTTTAATTGTTACCTGCAAGGGTATACAAACTTTGACTGGCCAAAGTTAGCTTTCTTTCTTGTTTAAAATAAATTTAAATACCATAACCCTCCCTTAATTACAAGCTTCACCGATTTAGCCTTTCCAATAACTATCTGACCTTTATTTACATTTATTACATGTGCTTTGTGCATAAATATATATTTTGTGACATAAATTACTTATTGCCCAACTGCTCTGCAATCCAATCAAGATGCTCTTCCTTAAATCTAGGATCCGCCATGGTCAATGCGGTAGACTTGGAGCTGTAATAATAGAAAACCGACACTGTGGAAGAAAGGAGGAGCATTTAACAAATCATTTTTGGGACGACAGGTCGTTATAGCAACTTACTAATGCGTTGGCTTACGGAAAGAGCAATCAGACCCAGTGGCCACTGGTGACCATCGTCAACATCGGGCGGCTGGCTGTACTGGTACACAATCCAGAAGTGCTGGGATGCGGACAGCAGGAAATATATGGTTATGCTGGCCAAAAAGAGCTTGCAATGGCGCAGGATTATGTGCGAGGCGCCCACCTGGTACACGCAGGTGGAGTGCAGGGCTAGAGCAAACAACAGATACTCCGCAATGATGAGGACGTCCTGAGTGCTACAATGGGAAATTGGAGCTCGATCAATGAAATTCCCCAAACGACTCTCCTCGACTACTCACACAAAGAAGAATATAGCGGTCTGCAGGCGATTCCTCGCCAGGGAAGGTCCAAAGGCGTTGCAGAACAGGTCCACTCCCAGGAGAGCAAACTGGAACATCAGCACCCAGGAGTACCGTCGCAGGGTTAGCTTCATTGCTGGACTTTAATGCTTCGATGTTTTTAGATTACTTGGTTTGTTTCATCCCAGCTGGGGTTTGAGGGGTTTGTTGTGTCCTTGATGTCCTAGTGACGTCAAAACATACCGCAGGCATGCGCCCTGCTGCCCACTAAGCCAAGGGGTTATCGATAGGCTACGGCGAGAATGAGAATGGGGATGAAATGTCCCTGTCTAAGCACTTGTAGCGATTGCTATTTAAAAACTAGAAAAGAAGCAAACTTCGGCACGACGAAATTTTTAATTAATTCGTTTAAAATAACTATATTTTATTATTATTATTTAATAATATAAAGTAATAATATATCATTAACTAACTTCTTACATATAATATTTACATTTTTACTCTCACAGCTTTGCATTTTTCCCTACATCTACTGATAGTTCCTATGGCAGCTATAGACAGACGGACATACACTTAAAAATATTATAACTAAGCCAAAAATGCTTTAATTTGAATTCGGAAACTTGTTATAAGTTAGTTTTTATAATGTTAACAAATCTGCATACTAAATTGAACTTATTTTTAAGTTCAAATTTTTTTCAATTTTTAACAATTTTAATGATGTAACCCCTTATCAAATTTTGAAAAAATATTGAAAAATTTTTTTTTACTGCCAACATGGCTAAATCAACTCAGCTGTTGATGCCGATCACAAATATATGTGATTTATAGGGTCGGAAATGACTCCTTCACTGACTTACTAGCTTCTGACTGAAATTAGAGCTCTGCAGAGAAATTTAAATTTTATATGATAATTAAATTATAATTATACCCTTGCAGGGTATTATAATTTCAGTCAGAAGTTTGCAACGCAGTGAAGGAGACCTTTCCGACCCTATAAAGTATATATATTCTTGATCAGCATCAACAGCCGAGTCGATCTAGCCATGTCCGTCTGTCCGTCCGTCCGTCTGTCCGTTTCTACGCAAACTAGTCCCTCAGTTTTAAAGCTATCTGAATGAAACTTTGCATATAGCCTTCTATATACTCTCACTGCTATATATGTCGGAACGGGCCGGATCGGACGACTATATCATATAGCTCCCATACAAATGATCGTAAAATTTTTAGAAAAAAAATTAAAACTTTGCCGTTTTTCATAATTTTTGCACCATTTTTTAGATATGGCCATTTTATATTTATATATTATATTATATTTATATTTCAAAATTTCGATAAAAATTTCATGAAAATCGGACGTCTATATCTTATAGCTGCCATAGGAACGATCGGGAAATTAATAGGAAAAAACTTATAACTTCGTTGTTTTTCAACGTATTTTCATATACTCTGAGATATAAGCTTATTTTATTATTCTAGAATTTTGGTATAAATTTCATGAAAATCGGACAACTATATCCTATAGCTGCCATAGGAGCGATCGGTAGATGTATAGAAAATGTAAAGGTGTGAATGTAAAACTGTAACTGTCAAACTGTAAACATAATAATTATAGGTAAAATGTAATGAAATAATATCTGCAAGGGTATACAAACTTCGGCGTGCCGAAGTTAGCTTCCTTTCTTGTTTTTATATGATTTTATAATTATTATATGATAAGCTCACAAATTTAATAACTAGGCCAAAAGGGACAATCTGAGAAATTGGATTACAGTTTTTTGTATTCAAATTATTTAAATAAATGTTCTTTTTTAAATTTAATTCATTGAAAAAGTCTTAAAAGTACCGTTTTAAAAATATCATACACATTTAGTCAGAATCCTAAAGCCCAAAAATCTGTAATTGAATTTATTTTACAATATAAATTACTAATTTAATGTTTTTATTGACTGTAACTGCCGTTCCCTTTAATCTCTGCAACTCTTTTTAATTTTTTAAAAGTATTTTATTTAAAAAAGAACTATATATTGTATTCTCCAGAGCTAATTTTTTATTCGATCGAAAGTACTATATTATCTTCATATATACTGAGCATATTCAAATTGGTGACGTCGCCTCTGTCCTTCCAGTCCACTTCCGTGTCTTCGAAATCGCCTGTAGTACTGCTGATTCATCTCGGAGTAGAAGTTGGTGGGCAGCAGATGAGACCAGCTCTGATCGCCTTCGGCATTGGGTCGCTCTAGAAACTGGAACATCGATGCGGATGTGGCTTGGGCGAAGCTAGGAAGCCAGCTCGCATTTAAGGTCATCAGAATGGAGGCCACTACTAGCCAGAACGTCGACATTTCGGCCACTGGCGACGAATGCAGCCAATGTCCATTACCCTACACCCTGCTTCTGGGTCGTCAGCAGTTTTTGGGACTCAGCCACTGCTTCCATGTGCATTTCTTTGCCGCTCGCTGACGCGGTACTTCAGTGGATCGCCGTTTTCGCAGTGGGCTATAAAGTGGGTTGGCTCCCGGAGTTTAACCAACAGTCAACAGCCTTCGTTCGCCACTTCAGCAGCAAGTAGAGACAGCTAAAGAACCCTCCGCCATGGCATCTTACATTGGTCAATTCCTCATCGCCGCCGCTCTGGTCTTCGCCGTCGTCTCCAGCGAGACCATCCAGCTGCAGCCCACACAGGGTATCCTCATCCCGGCACCACTGGCCGAGAACATCCGTGTGTCGCGCTCTGCTTACGGCAGCTACGGAGCTGCTCCTGCTGCCCCGGCCTACTCTGCTCCCGCTGCTCCGGCCTACTCGGCACCTGCTGCTCCGGCTTACTCTGCTCCCGCTGCCCCGGCCTACTCTGCTCCCGCTGCCCCGGCCTACTCGGCACCTGCTGCTCCAGCCTACTCGGCACCGGCTGCTCCTGCGTACTCGGCTCCCGCTTCCATCCCATCCCCGCCGTGCCCCAAGAACTACCTGTTCAGCTGCCAGCCCTCTCTGCAGCCCGTGCCCTGCTCGGCTCCAGCTCCATCCTACGGATCTGCCGGTGCCTACTCGCAGTACGTGCCCCAGTATGCCGTTCCCTTCGTCCGGGAACTGTAAGGAGACCAAAATCAGATAACTGGCCTATTACGTCTACGAATAAAGAGAACCGATTATTGCAAACAAAACTTATTGGACTTTTAGTTTGGGATATTTCAGATATTTCTTTTTCAGATTACTAGATACCAGGATTATCTTTAATTGGAAAATTTTATAGAGCATTAGGTTTAAAACAACAAATTTATAATTTGAAATAACGAATTTATTGCTCTGCTTTTGAGCATAAATAATGCGATTTTTTATAATACTCTGATATCTCCATAATGCACAATGAATAGCAACTTTATTTGTTTATGTTTCTCATTTACTTGTACTCCAATTATGCTTGTTCTGGATATTTTGATTTATTTTGTATCTTTGATATATTTTTTATAATTTAATTTTAGGCTTTTAACTCCAAATTTTAGTGCACTCAACCTTTAAGAATGGCAACCTTCTTTGATTGATATACTCTATAAAATATGTCTCATTCGGATACCGAAATTTTTGGTTGGCTCTTTGCTATAATATCCGTGAAAATATATAAATATATGGAAAATTCTGAAACATTATAAATCATGTAAAGGATAGAAATGAGAAATGATACATGGTACATACTGGATGAACCTTAAAATTCAAAGGTGGGTCACAAAAAGGGCATGGTTTACATTCGTATATACTGTGATAATTCCGTGCTGCCCGAAGGTCACAGCAGTTTGATATTACTGACCCCCACACTAAGAATAAAATAGCCCTAAAATCTGAATATGTTTCTTATTTATCACAATTTTTATTATGAAAACCGTGATGAATAAAATTAGTATTGTTTAAATCTATACTCTCGACAAGAAGAAGATCTATAAATAAATATCACATCATAAGTAACCGTTGCTGTCCCATAATATCACAATAAAGATTATAAAAAATAATTAAAATTTATAATCTATATAGAAAACTTAAATAAAAAAACAGCCTTTTTTTAATTTCATGGTGACTATTTTTCTGAGTGTAGGCTAGCATTTGTTGGATCCGATATCGGATTACAAAACTGTTTGCACTTTCTACTTTTCCGCATTGCTTGTCGATTTTGTTCGGTCATCGCGGATGTGTTGCAATCTTTTCTTATTTTTCATTTTTTATTCTCTTATACATAATGCCAAAAACGACCATAATTTTTGGCTTGATCAAGCATTAAGCGTCCCATACCAGTAATTTTTTATTAATAATGGAAATTTAGGTAACTGTTACTAACTGAGAGTACACTGACTTGGATAAATGTACACAGAAAAAAAACAGTTTTGTATAATTTATACATCAAGCATTTAAAAATGTAGGAAAAATCTATGTAATTAATGTATTATAATTATATTATTATGGCAGCTAAATTTATATGATAAAGTTCTTAAATTTTATTATGAATATTTTGAGCCATACAAAATAATTACGTATGTATAAGCTATTTATGTAAATGTTTAAAAGCAACAAAATTATTTATAATTAAGTAATCTTTCCTTACATGTTAAAATACAAACTTTTTAAAGCAAATATTTACTATATCTCAGGTTTTATATGAGTAGTTTAAATATATATAACCTTACCATTGCATTTTTTGTTTTTATTATGCTAAAGATATAATCGTACGATTTTTTTTTAATGTTGCCAAAATTCTAAAATTAAAAAAAAAAAAAAAAGGGAAGCTAATCAATAAATCGGTTTTACTATATGGTAAGTCATCCATAATTTAAATTGATATTTCATTATATAAAAATTATATACAAGGCATATCTCAAGGAATTTGAAATTATGTATATAAAAATCGCGAAAGTTATTATTTTAAGAAAGAAAAGCTTTTCATAATTTGTAAAAGTGCTAAAACTTATTTATTTGCAAGTAAAAAGTAAAGTTCCTTTTGGTTTTTAAATTAATTCATTTAAATTGTTATGGTTTGCATTCTTCCTTAAAAATCTTAAATGCATTTGGTCAAAGTCCTGAGAGAAGTTCATAAGTTAATATTCTTGTATAATAAAAAAACAAATGTTTATAGGGTAATTTTTTTGTATTTTAATTTGCAATAAATATTTTTTATACAATTTTTTATCCATAAATTTTTTTATATCTCAACAGTGGAGTTCATGGTCCGGGGATCAGGCTGTGGTAGCTGTGGCGGGCCGATACTTAGTACTGGTAGCCAAAGTTCTGGGGAACGTAGGCGGCGCTGTAGAGCTGCTGCTGGGGCACGCCGTAGGTGGGGGCGATGTACGAGGCCACCGGGGAGGAGTAGGCACCGGCGGATCCGTAGCTGGGAGCGGGAGCGCTGCACGGCACTGGGGCGAGGTTGGGCTGGCAGCTGAACAGGTAGTTCTTGGGGCAGGGAGGAGCTGGGACGCTGGAGCCGCCATAGCCGCCGGAGCTGCCGCCATAGGCGGACTTGCGGAGACGGGTCAGGTCACCGAAGCCCTGGCCCTCCAGCTCGGAGGTCTGGGTGTTCACTCCGGTGGCTCCGGTGGTGGCGCTGGACGAAGCCACGTTGGTGGGGGAAGCCAGGGCGGCGGCGGCGAAGGCGATGAGGGCGATGCACACGAAGGATTTCATCTTGAAGTTCGGAGTTGGAGCTGGAGGCTGCTGGGAGTTGGTTTGACTGATTGTAGTTACCAAAGGTGACTGATGCCATTCCCAGTCCGCCGGCTAGTTTATATAGCTGACCAATCTGTCTAGTGGGCACAAAGTGAAGAGTTTAATGGCTGTAACTATTCTTGGTTTTTGTCTTAACTTTTGCTTTAATGCTGGATCAGCCCAATGCCAGAATATATACCGCTGACATCGGTAATAGCCCATCGTCAGCTTTTTGGGGTCATCACTAAGGCAGAAAAGCGTTTGGGTCTGCGAAAATGTTCGACCAGTGTAAGAAATTGAGTGCATCGCACTTCAAATTGTGGGTGTACAAATTATTAAGGCTATGTGGCCCAATTTCGATGTTTCGAAATCAGTAAAAAATCAATACATACCCACATATAAAATATTATACAAATTCTAGACTAAGCTGACAGTATAATCATATGTTCTGAAATATAATTAATATGTTTTTAATGTTTAATATATTTACATACATATATATGCTTGTGTGAAATTCCACATCATATCATATCATCATATATTTATTGATTATAAACATATGTTTTATTATGTAATTAAGAAATCATCAAAGCTTATGTTTATATATATTTTTAATAAAATAAATAAATTAAACTTCCCTTCTACAACAGAGTTTAAGATAAAAGTAAAGGAAACTTCCTTTAAATTAACAACGGTTCTTGGCCCTACTAGCTTAAATTTTAAAAAATGTATCAGCTTCGGCCTAATCTTCTTCTGGGGTTTATTTTTTCCCGACATAGCTCAATTCTCGGACTGGAAGAGCTTAAGCCCCAAAAATATACATTGCTAGAGACGTCTGACTTTTGCCGAAAACGTTTTCTGTTCAGCATTTTCTTTCAACTGTCTGTTCAGATGTAATTTCCACCATGTACTCTATGCTAATTAATTGCGATTTTTAGCATGAAGTAAAAAAGTATAAATATTCTTAAATATTTTATGCCATAGCTATAGATCAAATACATATATATTGTTGTTAGGAAAATATATTTTAAAGTGTATTTATCCATACCTTAATGTATGTATTATTGCCATTTTTTAATTAAATATAATATTAATTTGTAATACATATAATAATAGTTTGCATGGACATTTACGGAAGGCATTTAGGAATCTAAATTTGAATTATTATGAAAACAAAAAAATAGTTTTTCATTTTTATTTTGTTGAAATTATTAAACCCAAAAGGAACCCAGTTTGCCACAGATTTTTAAAACGAGATTTCTGTGGTGCCCAGTTGTCATTTATGTAATATGTGATGGGTCAGTAAAACATAGAAACTCTTTATAAATTAATTTCAAATGTACAAATGTATTTTGTGTGTATTTGTTTTTGTTTATTTTTATAAATATTATTTTGCAAAAATTTTAAAATATTTTCCTTATTATGTACATATTGAATTTGTTGCATTTTCAAGTGTGCTTGGTATGCCTGATAAATTTCCCAGCTCAGGCCAAATATTCAGGTCGTTGGCAGTTTGCAGCTTTTAAAGTGGCTTCAAGATACGTGCGCATACACTTTTTATAAAGAATGTGTAGAATTGCAGTGCGAAATTGAAGAGAAATCATAATTTAAATTATACAAAGATATATAAATGCAGCTTTGGCCTAATATGAGTTGATCCAATACTAATTATTAAGAAAATGTTGAACGACTTACTGACAAATTCCCTAAAAACTTAATTTTTAAAGTCTCTAAAGATGGCGATATGTTTTTGGTAACATTAATTTTAAGATAATAATTGGAATCTAGAAAAATGTTTAAAAATGCTATAGTTTTGAATTAAAGGAAACCGATTAATTTATACTATTGTGTATTTTGCTGGCATATTTCCTGGTCATAAATATATATTGTTATTGTTTCGATACCCTTACAGGGTACTATAATTTTAGTCCGAAGGGTGCAAACCAGTGAAGGAGCCATTTCCGACCCCATAAACCATATATAATCTTGATCAGCATCAACAGACGCATCTTATTAGCTATGTCAAAAAGAAAAAAAGTTTTGAAATTATTTTTTTTTTCAAAAATTGATATGGGGTTACATCATTAAAATTTTCAAAAATTGAAAAAATTTTGATTTCCTAAAATTTTAAATTGAGTATGCAGATTTGTTAACCTAGTAAAAACTAGCACAGAAATGCTTGCCGAATTGAATTTGATGCCTTTTTGGCTTATTTATGAGACATTTTTGATTAGTTGCTGATGCCATTGTAAACTGTTTTTTTTTTTCGATTTTTCATTTTTAATCTAAATTTTTATTCAGAGAATGGTATGTTATGAAAGTCAAATTAGTTATTACAATTTCCTCTACCATTCATATATCGATTCTTGAGAGTCAGCTGTTGAAACGGACAGAAGTGGCTGGAATAAGTCGCTTGTTTATTTATATCAAATTCATATATACTTTAAAAGGGTAAAAGGAAATATCTTGAGAAGTTGCTAGTGATCCGTATCCCAAATGCTGAGTTTTTGTACATGATTTTCCGAAGTTATTATAAACCATTTATTCCTCGTTCACCCAACAACGACTGTGAATAAAGATTTTTAAGTAGTTCACTAGAACTTAAAGATTTATACGAGACTCATACTTTATAATGGAATTTCAGATTTTTATTGAACTTATTTAAATGGTAAGATAATCTTCCTAAAGCATTTCACTCGTTAAAAGATTTAAAACTCGCAGGTTTTGCTGTTGGGTATCAATTTTGCCAAATCTCTGGAGAAATCTGGAAATCTGAAGTTTTGAAAGGAGATCCTGTATGATGATCTGCTTTCAAAACTTCACTTCAGTCTGCAGAATATTTGCTTGTTGGCTCTTTAACTCTCCAACTCATGGAGGTTTCAGCTCCATATTTAAACCCAGGACAATGTTCTGCTGTATACTTTTTTAGCGGGAGTGATGAAGTCCTCCAGTATGCGATTAAGAGATTCTAGGTACATAGATGCTGCAGAAGTTACGCTGAGGGTACTGCTGGTCTTAGCTTTCTAGACCATCTGTCTCTTGGCCTCCTCGGTCTTTACTGCCTCCTACTCGTTGACCGTCTTTAATATGTTAATTTTCTGCGTCGCGACCGAAGACCTGCTGAAAATGTGTTTAAGGTATTACAAGGTTTTGGTTGCCGAGCTGAATTTTTAATTGGCTTGCGTTGCATTTATTTTCGAATATTATGTGTTTAGAGGAAAAAAAACGTAACTTGTATAAGGAGTCAAGTACCATAATTCAGCGTTTAAATTCTCCCGCCGATTGTATATAAATGATGTGGCAACATTGGTTGTGTTATCGAAATGGGTGAGATTACAACAAGCTGCCTGCTACAGATGTCAACACCTGCAGTTCAATCGATCTGGCAGCTCTGTTCTCGTGGCAAAATAAAAACAATCCCAATTCGTCTCTTAAATTTGTGAATTATTCTGGCATTTAAACGATGCTGCCTGGCGTTGGAGTCTTTGGAACTGGCGAGATAGCCAACGTCCTGGTTCCGCTGCTCCGAGAAAAGGGTTTCGAGGTTCGGGCCATTTGGGGCCGCACACTGAAGGAGGCCAAAGAGACGGCCACTACACAAAATGTGCAATTCCACACGAACGTTATTGACGATGTCCTGCTGCGCAAGGACGTGGACCTGGTGTTCATTGTCTGCCAGCCGTTCCTGCACGCCGAGATCTCGGTGAAGGCGCTTGGCATTGGCAAGCACGTGGTCTGCGACAAGCCCGCCGGACTGCATCAGCAAGATGCCCTGAAAATGGTCCGCGCCTCGCAGTATTATCCAACGCTGATTTCTCTGGTGAATCACCCGCTGCGGTTTCTACCCGCCTTCACGCACATGCGTCGCTGCCTGCAGGATGAGCTGATAGGCTCCATTGGCGACGTGGTGCTCATGGATGTGCGTGTACAGATGGGCACGCTGTTCCCCGAGAAGTACAACTGGATGTGCGACGCCCAAATGGGCGGTGGAGCTCTGAATCTAGTGGGATCTGTGGTGGACTTGGTTAGTTTTCTGCTGCAGCAGCAGGCGATTCGCGTCCACGGAGTCCTCCGTTCATACACCAAGACCACGCCGGCCATCAATGGCATCAGGCAGATCACAGCGCCGGATTTCTGCAACTTCCAGATGGAGCTGACTACGGGAACTCTGGTGACCGTGGCCCTGCACAGTCATACGGTGCCGGCAAAGGCATTCTCCCAGGAAGTTCTTATCTACGGCAGCAAAGGGCACCTGGTGGTGCGCGGCGGTGATCTTTTCGTGCTCAAAGAGGGACAGCCCAAGGAGGAAGCAGTGTACGTGGACGTCCAGGACCTACACTTTGCCACAAACAACTCCTTGTTACCACGACCCTACATCAAGGGCCTCTGCAAGATGGTAGGAGCTCTCAAAGAAGCCTTTGGCAGCAAGGAATCCTCCTGGGTCAAGGCACCCGTCTCCACGGCAGCCACATTCGAAGATGGCCTGTATGTCCAGGCTGTGGTGGAGGCCATCCGGAAATCGAATGAGTCCCGGCAATGGCAAAGGGTCCAGCTGTCCACAGATGCCCCTCTCAATCACGATCAGATCATTCGCTATGCACGCATGTCCACCATGTAGTGTGTTCTTTGGAAATTGGTGCAATCACTCCAGGAAATCAGTATATAAATATTTTTATATAATTTTGTGTTTAGTTTGTAAGCATTTACCAGATTCTCGGCCTTTAGGCCCAGTGTCTCATGTTCATCAATGTATTTAACTTATTATATTTAAATGGCATCGGCATTTTGAAACTAATAAAATTTAAATATTTGTAATTCAATATTTAATTTCATTTAAAAATTTTTATAAAAGGTAATATTTTAAAATCTTTTTTATATTTTTTAGAAATTTATTAGTCTGGGAATTAAAATAATCAAACAACTAAATGAATTTGTTTTTTGTAATGATTATATTTTATTTATTAATTCTTATCTATATCCCAAAGTCAGTTTAGCTTTGTACTATTACTTCTAATAATATTAGGAACCATTTTCTTTATATAGGAATATTTAAAATAATTTTTTAAAATTTGATTGGGAATTAATTGCACCCCAATTGGAAATTATAAAGAAAAGCAAGCTATAAATAAACCGTTCCTTCTTCTTGTGTATTTTGGACAAAGTTAAACATACGTAACAAGTCACAAAATCATATTAAAAACCGTAACACCCCTCTTTTCAGATTTACCAAACATTTTATTACAAAATCAATAAAGTAAAAAATCTAAAACATTGGCTACACAAACTAAACATAATCATCATCATCCGTTTACACATAAATCGAACTTAGGAATATAAAACTAAGACTAAGCTTTAAAAGAGACAAAAAACAAAATGTTGATCACAAATAATGTATCGTTGATGCGAACTGTTAGGATGAATATTCAAGATTTGGCATAGCTCAGATCCTTCATAGGAACCCAAACCGAGTTGATGAAGTTAGCGGGGGAAAGAATAAGGATAATGGCAAGATGGAGACTGGGAAATTGAAAATAGTTGCTGGAATTCTGTTCTTCTTTTGTTTTTGGTATATCAGCACTTACACTGGTACAAGCTACCCTAAAGCCTTCGTGCGTACAATAATATTTCAGAGAATATTTAAATAAATAACTAAGCTAGCTTTCCACATTATCGTAAATGGGTCGATCAATGTAAAACACATAAAAAAGGAAACTGATAAATTCAATTTTGAACTTAAAACGAAAGACACCCGACTATGTACAAAGGAATTACAACTGAAGCTTAGAGTTGAGAGTGTAGGTATCCTATCGCTTGTTTAGCTTGTGCCACAGTGTAATGATGGTCAGCACGTGCATGACACCGATCACAGCACCCATGAGGAGCAGGCAGTCGGACATGTGCACGTCCGAAATCATCATGTATTTGAGGAACACCTTCGGACTCCGGAAGTGGCAGTACATCGTGTCTTTCGGACACTCCAGGAACGGTCGATCCATTCCATAGATTGCATTCAGTGCTCCGTGGAATCCTGCCCGGAAGTAACTCAAGTGCCACATCCAACGGAACAGGGGCGTGATGTCGATGTACCGCGTGCAGAAACCAAAAACGGAGAACATCACTGCCAGAATGGGTCCCAGAAATACGGCAAGCTGTGGGATATAAGTTGAAATTATGATTAATTATTTTAATTTATATTCTGGCTAATTGGTTGTGTGTTAAAACCCACCTTAGTCGGCAGCGTGGCTCCCACGAAAAAGCCCCAGGCCTGGGCACTTAGTGAGGCCATTATACCCAGCAGTATAAAGTAATAAATCCGGAAGGAGTCCACGGTATCATTACCCGTTAGATGAACGCTGATCACGATGTACATGGCGGTACAGAGGCTCTATAATTTAATTAATTTTTATTTTGTATAATGTAGAATAATAAAATTCAGATAATGATATTACTGAACTACATAAAAAACTAAAAAATAAATTATTTTAACATAGGGTTAAAATAATACAATAATAAATGTTTAAAAGAGCAGAAATTTTACTTTTAGACAACATTTTGAAGGAGTTCAAATCCCCAAAATTTTCTAGGGCACAACTGTTTATTTTAACTCAAATTTAAAAATTAAAAAAGGGTATAAGACCGCTAGAACAACTCTAAATTCTTTTTTAATTTTAACTATTTCGGGTTGAGTAATTCCAGGAAATTTACAATTATTTCTCTCCCATATTTAAGCCAGCAAAATCATTAACTCAGACAACACAAAATAGCTTTTGTAGGCTTCACCAACAGAATGTTGACAACTTCTCTCCATATCCATATGAATGTCAGAGAGAATATTGAAACAATTGACCGCGAAAATGCGGGTGAGCAGCAAGCGTTAAGCTTCTGGGGATCTGTCACGCAAATGAAACTCGAACATCAGCGATTTCACATCGTTAATTTGACTTAATGACCGAACGGCAATTCATTAAGCCACAGAGCCACCTATAGTGGGGCTTTGGGTTAAATTATGATTAATGATGCGGCTGGCATCGGGTTCTGTTCTGATCACTAGCATTAAGTAAGTGGATCTCACCTGAAAGGGTATCTCGAAGGAGATCAGCGAGAGGAAGTAGGGACCCAGCTTGTACCAGCGATTGAAGTGCTCCCGCGTCAGCATGTCAATTTCCAGCGGAACTGCAAATAAAATTAATTGATAAAAAATCATTAAATTCCGATACGATGCGAAGTGTGCGCACGAAGGTGAGGGCAGGCTACACACACCGGAGTACATATAGTACATATGTATATATTTAGGTCAGGTCAGTAAACCGAAACCGGTAAAGATCGGACTCCCCCGCCACCGCCGACGCCAGTGCCTCCTGTCTGGATGAATTTATTGTAATATGCTTTGAGAACAGCTTGCGAACCGGTTTTATTATACAATACTCGCAAGCTTGTGTCGCCTGTCTCTTGTCTCTTGTATCTTGGATTTTAATAATTATTTACTCAGTAGGCTTCAGGATCGCCATTATTTCGGGGGTCTTTTTTAGGGTGAGAAATTAATTGTGAGCCCATTTACATGGAAATTATAAATGACAAAGTGGCTCGACTAAGATGTTTAAGCGATTCAAGTCTGGCCTTGCTGGGAAGGTTAATGTGCTGAATTGTTTGGTTAAATTAAATTAAATAAATATATACAAAATACATATTAATATTGCATTTTTTATTCAAAATATATACCTTCTGAATTACTTTTTAAAAGATATTCTTGTGATTTATTTATCTTCAAGGCTATTTAAAATTCTAACACAAATCCTATTATATCTAAGATTTATTTCTGATTATAGCTCATTACTTTCCAGTTCCTCATCACAGATCTATATCTTCCTTTAAACAAGCAAACACGATTTTATATATCTACTTAAATATTTCGCCAAACCAATCTCAAAGCAATAATCTTCAGACCAAGACCAGCTAATGATCCACTATCTAAGCTCATAATCTTGTTTCCTTTTCGCCAATTAAGACTCCCAAGACTTTTGTGCAAATGCCAACATATTATTGGCTAATCCGCATTCCAAACAAAAACAAAAAGACACAAAATCAGCAAACAAAAAGGCGAAACTGTTGACAACTTAGAATGCGGCAAGGCAAGGAGAGGCCAAGTGGCCAAAATAAATAGTAAATGTTGCAAAAGAGGTCTGCCAGAGAATCCGACGACAGCAGCAGCTGCACAGTCTTGGCAAAATTTGGCGACAAATTTTTGCATAATTTTCTGTTTTTGGCCAGCCAACGGAACGGAATTATCGAATGGGAAACGGGAGAGAGGCTGGGGCTGAGGCTGAGGTTGAGGTTGAGGCACTTGGAACCGACTACCACTACTCGAGAACCACTTTGAAAAGCACCTGGGGGGGTGAAGTACTTGTACTCGTACTCTAACTCGTACTCGTATCTTTGAGATACCCAAGCAGCTACTTACATGTCAAGACCACAGCCATTTTGCCAGTGTAGACCAAGAGCAGCGTGGAGCCGTAGAGGTATACGTAATTGCCCAGCACACTCTGGGCATTGTTGCCCACATTCATGTACAGATATCCAAAGACGACGCCAATGAAAATGTGAGAAAAGATCCGGGCCAGCAGCAGGAACTGAAAGAAAGATACGTGATACATTTTAGAGATAAAGATGCTAGGTAATTTTTTGAAAAATCTGCATTATTATCTTATAAATAAGAGGGAGAATAGTAGAACAGGTAGTATGTGCTCTCTTATTCATTATTTAATTATATATTTTAACAACCTCTTTTCTCCTTAAAACAGCTCCTACAATTATACCCCTTTGATGAAAATAATTATATATAATATTGTTAAGATAGCTATAAGCTTGCTGCTTATCATCAGACCCAGAAATTTAATGGTCTTGTGAAAAAATCTACTTATTAAGATTTTTCTAAAAGATTTAATATATATTTTTGTGCGTTTTCACATACTTAAATAATTGCTATAACTGTTTAGCAACTGCTTAAGATATCCAAGAATCTGAAAATGATTTCCCATTACTATTATCTTGACCACAACTGTACCTTTAAGTTGGGGGCAGCTGCCGGCAAGCCAATATCTAACAAAACGCTCGTGCAGTCGGAGATGTTGGTCATTAGAACACACTCTAAAAACCGAAAAATCTATGTGAAGGCTGGTCGTGCGGTGGCATTACTTTTTGAGTTACGACTCGGTCGAGTGGCTCGAGATTCTCGATTTGCGCCGCTGGCCAGGCTCTGTGACACTGGCCCGCAAGTCAATACCAATATCGAGTATCGAGCCCAGAGTCGAGGTGCTAAAAGATTCATCCATTCGCGAGTGCAGTGTATGCAGATCCATATATTTAATTTGTGCAGTCGCATAAAGGCAACTTAACTTGCTAATTGGTCGTCAAACAAACTGTTCAATTTCTCATTTTACACAAATGCCAAGTGCTAATTGTAGACATTCAAATGATAAACGTCAGCCATCAATCTCAGTGGCATAGCATAGCAGCGGCATCCAAGTTAATTTATGTATTTATTCTGGTAAACATTTGAGCCTTTGCCCTGAGTCACATTTTTCAATCATACATATATGTATATAAATATATGGCCAAAAGAGGCAAATAAATGTATGAAACGAGGAGTAAACGTGTGAATTATTAAATGTCACATTCAATTAAATATTTGCCCAAGCAAAGGGGCTTTGATCTTTACAAGTGTTTCTGGTTAAAACACGAGTGTTATTTGTCCCACATTCCCTTGTGGGAAATGTTGTTGAGATGTGAAAAAAGACACATTTTACGCCATTTGGAAATTTGTTACGACAACTGTTATTAAATGAAAATTACACTTATTATTTTGGGGAAATCCATCCATTATATGCGAATTACTTTTAATGCCAAAGCTCACCATTAAAATGAAATAAAAGTATACCTTATGCCCTACTGGGATTACGACTATTATACAAGCTTGCGGGTTTTGGAAACCCTCAGCAATTACCATTTGAAATCCACCGAATGCATGCCATTATATCGCTCACATTTTCTTGTTTTGCAAAAATCCGAAAGCGTTGCAAGCAGACAGACTGACAGACAAACTACCTAACCTTCCGAATAATAATTATAAAATGTATACTGATAATGTGCAGAGCTCTCTCAGAGACGTAATTACTCACAAAAAAGTTAAACATAATATAAAAAGCAGCCATTAAGGAGATTAAACCATTAAGAATTACGCAGAAAACGAGATCAGGCGTAACTCGATTCACTTTTGTCGAGGACACAGCGCCAATTACCAAATCAACTTGACAGGCCATCAACGCTTAAGTCCTAAACCTGCTTTCGAAACAAATTGCTAGCCACTTATTAAGTGTATTAAAATGATTACAGTTAAAGTCAAAGTATCAGTAACTCAAAGAAATCTAAGAGACACTTGCAGTTAAAGGCAAAACTTCTTACAAAAAAAAAAAAATAAAATAGGAGTTGGTTTAAAACGTTTAATTTCACTTTTAATTTTACAAATTGAATTTTACCAAGGTTTAAAAATATTTTAAAATATTTTTGGCCTTCCTAATCCATCTTATTTATATTTTATAATAAACTTTATAGTTTATACTCACGTAATTGCGTTTGGCACAGATCAAGATGCGCTGCATCAGGAGCAGGTACTGCATGAGGAACGAGGCCGAGCTGGAGGCATTCGAAGGCTTGGCAAGCTCTTTGACATTGGCAAGCGGCTGCTTGTGCTGTTGATTTTTCTCATTGAGATCTTGGTTGGTGCTTTCTGGTGTGCCACTCAGTGCCTTGATCTCCTCCAGCGCCAGCTCCTGCGGCGCTGGTTTCACATAGTCGTAGCTGGAGAATTGCGCCAGCGCAACTGTAGGCAGCTCTTGACTGGATTTGCTCAGAGTCTTGCTTCCAATGTTGTCTATAATTTTATTCAGGGGGAGATTGCAAGGAGGAAATAAGAGAAAGTCGATGGTTAAAGGTTACAATGTAGAGAAATGTTTAAACTTTGTGAAATTAATATTGTATTTTGTACAGGTTAAACATTTCCCAGCCTTGGAAGCTGTTTGTATATAACCCTACAGCTTAGCAACAGAACAAGACTTACCTGTAATTGTTGCCACCAGACGTGACATATCTGTAGAGCTCATATAGCGATAGCGATCAACATCCTCGTAATACTTTTTATTCGCCGCATGGATCAGATCATTCAGATCACGTTGATGCTCACCCACGGCCACTTCGAGCACTGAAATCCAAATGAGTCGGGAATTATATAGATATAAAGTTGTGCAGCTCTCCTTCCCAACTTACGATAGTCAGCTGGATTGTGGTAACTGGGGCAGACGAGCTGCTGGTCAGCCAGGAAGGGTACTAGTTCCCTCACAGGTCCCTGGTACATGCAGTTACCATCCACCACCGTATATAGCTTGTCGAACATCTCAAAGATCAGGGCACTGGGCTGATGGATTGTACAGACAATCGTGTGGCCCTGCGAAGCTAGTTTCTTCAACAGAGCCACGCAGGAACTGCAAGAGGAGCTATCGAGACCCCTGGAAATAAATTTCAAAAAAAAAAATTGTAAGCTTTAAGTTTAACTTGTAGAGTATATGATTCAACCTTTTTTAATTGCCGCTAGCCTAACCTTTGGAAAGTAGACAGATAAAAAGAGCCATTAAGCGTTGTTATGGCAATGAGCAACAACCGAGAAAGACAGAGAGAACATTAAGATATTTCAGGCAGACTCAAACTTTAATGATAGGTAAGATTGGGGCTTGAACTTGAAATGAAATTAAATGAAAGTGACAAACGAGTTTGTGTTCTCAAAAAGCCATTAGGTAATACATTACAAAGATTTGATCGACTTGCAGCTGACGATTTATGGAACAAGCTGAGCCCACGAGCTGCTGAAGTGTATATTTCTTATATATATAAGATCAGATCTCAAAAGAACAGAAAACTTTGTAAGGGTTATATTTTTAGCTCTCCTTTTCTTTGTTACAAAAATATCTACATGACTTGATAATTTGTAAAGCGTTTTAATATGGTGTGACTCAAGGGTTTTTTTTACAAAGTCATTGTAGTTGAAAAGGAACTTTTCGAGAGGGCTAAGTCTCTGCCCAGACAAGCTAAGATAATGACCATAGAGCATAGTGAACGGTAACCCTTCTACCCTTTGATTGCCAAGCCATTAAACTTATTAAACTGATTCTTTCCATAATTTTCATTTAGAATCTATTAAAATAATTTCTGCTTGCTGAACGACTCGATTAATTGCCAAGTTTGCAAACAAACTACTAATTGAGAGATAATCTGCCGCCTAAGCCGGTTATTAAAAGCAACGTGACAGAGAATATTTAAATGAATTCCGTTTCCTGCTCAATGAACCCAAGCTATCAAAGCGAAACTAAACTATTATAATGTCTACTATATAGACAATTGATAAGTCCTAGGCCCATGTAGACGGGGACAAACTTGACTTGTAGGTCAGGCCTGGATTTCGCTAAATTTCCGCTAGGCAAAGTTTACTCATCGTCATCATTATCATGGCGACTCTAATTACATAAGTCTGCTTATATACTGTCACTCACGTCGTCGGCTCGTCCAGATATAGCACTGGAGGATTACTTATCAGCTCCAGGGCAATAGCGAGACGCTTCTTCTGTCCACCAGAGAGCTTCGCCGTGTGCACATTAAAACGATGGTCCAGGCCCAGCAGTGATAAGATGTGTTTTATCTGCAGAGATGAAAGGAAAATTTATGAGATAAGATTTCGCTAAAAATAAGCTTGAATTTTAATTCAGAAAATTGTTATTTAAAAAACTTTTTGAACATTTTGGCTTATGATAATAAAATAGTTTAGTGTAAGAAATTAATTCTAGTTTTTGAGTTCTCCTTACCAGATCCATTTTGTAGGCCTTGGTCACCTTAAAGCCCAACTTGAGATGTGCGGCCAGCAGCATTATCTCGCCCACCTTCAACTGGGGACGCAGCAGATCATCCTGATGGATGTAGCACAGCATCTGGCGGAATCGCTCCGAGTTGGGATCCATTGGCTTGCCATTTACCCGTATGTTGCCCGACACTCCAGTAGCGCTGTTGGAAAATTAAAAAAAGCAGCAAAAAAGAGTAAAAATAAGTGGAAGAAATCTCAAAAGAAAATCAGCAAAAAACAAGCAATTAAAATAATTATTATAATGTGAACGAGCTCATACAAGCTATATGTGTAAGTATATATAAACTGGGAAAAAAATCTCCAGCGTCTGGAGCAGAGTAGTGAACCGAACTCGGTTCAAACGTACCGAACCCTAAAAAATATGTATGTAAACGGGGTTTTCAAGTTCATAGTTTACTGACCGATAACGTTTAGCAATGAAAAATCGTGTACCGCCTCTGGGGGTACACAACTTCCATTACATTAAGCATGATAATTACACAGAAGCAGCAATTTGCAAGTTTTGTTTCCATGAAAACCCCAAATGGCAAAAGATTTTGTACATATATTTTATTTACTAAACAAAATGCTGTAATAACTGTCAGTTGGCCATCAAAAGGCAAAGATTGCGTTTTAGATGCGTCAATCTAAAGGGGATTGACTCATAGACTGGTGCATTGGGATTCATCTTGCGATCCCGGAAAGTTCTGCTTATGCAATGGATCTTGAACTAAGAGGAAGTGATGCGATTGTGTCCGGAGCAAGAGGCCAAGATTAAGAGCATCAGACGATAGTGTGAATCATATTTTAGAGATTACTGAGCTTTAAAATTGTAGAAAAAAAAATATTTCTACTGCATTCTTTATACTTTTCAACAGCTTGCCTAGAAACAAAACCAGGTTTAGTTTGTATTACAAAGATTTTATATTTTATCTACTAGAAACAACAAGATCCTGGTTAATTGTAATGATTAAAAGCTTAATTAGACCCTAAACAAATTGATTATAATGCAGTGCAGGCTGTGTAACTGACAATTTGCTAAACTTTATTGGCATTTGAGCTGTGTGTTGACTGATTGATTGAATGATTGCGACGTCTGCACTTTATATGCAAACACGATGTGAACACGATATGTAATTAAAACCAGCTTTCATGCTCAGCAGTATAATCGGAATTAAGAAAAACGCAAAAATTAATAAATGCCAACTCGGAAAACTTAATTTTCAAGTTCAAGAACCTAAAGAGACTCACCAAAAGCCGGACATAACATTCAGCAAAGTGCTTTTGCCCGCTCCCGAGGGTCCCATAATGGCGGTTAGTTCGCCGGCGCGAAAGCTGCCATTAAGACCATGCAGGATTTCTTTTGAGACTATAAGAAAAAAATAAAAATATATAATTAGGAAAATATAACAATTTAAGAACTTAAAACCCACCGAATTTCCTTTCCGGAAAAGAGAACTTTTTCACTGTGTACCGCACATCCGAGAACTCAATGTCCACCGGATCGCAGTGATCGAAATTGGCATGGGCCACTGCCTGGTGATAGTTCGGCAATCCATTCAGATCGTTTGTTACCTTAGTGGCCAATGCTGCTGATCCCCGGGAGGAGGTCGAAGAGGTCTCGTCAATGGACAACTCCGAGCTGGCCGCTGTGGTGCAGCAATTGATGCCCAGGCAACCGTTTTCATGGCCATTGTGACCCTTGTGACTGCCTCCCGAACTGCTGCTGGCATCGCTACTGCCTCCGCCACCGCAGCAGGCATCTGAGGCCTTGATATCTGGCAAGAGCGTCATATTTCTGGGCTTACTTATATATTCCGGGAATGGGGATTAAAGTCTGAAAGAATTAAGAGAAAAAACTCATTTAAATGCAATGCAAATTGCGCAACAAGAAGAAACAATGAAGATAACGCTTATCAAGGCATATATATTGAAGAGTATTTCACGACCCTAGTCAATAAATACATTTATATATTATATTTTTTGTACTTAGCCATATATATATTCATAGCAAACTTTATTAAACATCCTCTTCATTAAACCTGAGCCATTAATAAATATCTAAGCTGATTTTTCCGCCATATAATTTGTAAATTCATCTATTAATTATATACCCCTATGATCACATTCTACTTAAATAATTGGAGGGCCTGCTAAAGTGATTTCCCCATGCATATAGAATTTACATAGCAGATCTAGTAGCAACGACCTGTTTGTTCGTCCGGGCGTTAACTTCGTTTATTCTAGATAATTAACTAACCACAAAAAAAAAGCTTGTTGAAAGCAAATTGAATACTTTTTTGGAGGCGTTTACATTCTGATTGCACAATTTCACCCGACACTTACATAGAGTCATAGTCCATTGGCTATCGCGAAACTTGACAGATGCGTCATTAAAATACTTTACAAAGTGATTTTTCATATGCGAAACAAAGAAAGTTATTGTAATGTGAAATTGTGTGAATAATAAAAGGTTTCTAGAAGTATTTCTTACTGATGGATAGACAATTTCTTGACTGAAGATCCCTTATCTTTGTACAATTCCCCTTTGAGTCCATTAAACTCTGATTTATGCGTAGAGACGGTTTGGTCTATCTGGGCTATTTATCAGTTGGATGCCAAAAATAACGAACTTTTTGCTTGTCATCTTTTATGGAATTTCGGAATTTCTTTTCTTTGATTTGATGACTCGGCATTATGCAAAAATAGCCCTTTAAAAGGTCTATAAAGAAATGAGGGAATCCAATTCCAGGTTCAAACTCCAATTCTCCCAATGTGTTTTTATCAAGGACTGCGTCAAAGGTAAATGTTTTTATTGATTATTCTCCAATTAGCTAATGTTTACTAATTTCCCATATCCTTGACTTAGGTCAGGTTTTTTTCCGACCGACTTTAAGCTTGCTAACTAACTAAATAAACAAAGTAAATAGCCTAGAACTTGTTGAATAGTAAATAAAATATATATCTATGTTCTTGTATACTTAGTATGTAAATTAAAAATTATTATTATAAAGTATAAAATTATACAGTACTACAAAAATATCATAAAGAACAAGTATCTAGGCTAAACAGCCTCTTATGATTCTTTGTATGCAAATATGCAAATTAACTTTAGTTCTCCCACTTACAATTTAAGTTTCAGTCGGCCCAGCGGTCTCTATAGTTTTTTGTTTATGTTTGGCAAACAAGTCTCGAGCTAGTCAACTGATATTGACTTTGATGTAAAGAGTTTGGTGCCTGTCTGGCTTGTTAACCGAATGACAAGCCAAAACTAAAAGAAACCAGTTATTCCAAAGAGCATTGAATAGTGCATAATGATTTTTTACTATTTTTTCACAGACCTTAATTGGCCGGCAAAGCTAAAGGGGATTACGCCTAGCTGTAGGTGTGATCTTGCCACAAAAAAAAAAATGAAAAGAAGTTCAACTGGTTCTGTCTTGGGTGCATTTCCAGCGCAGTTTCATTGAGAGTTGACAATTTTCATTGATTGAGCTCGAGTTCAGGCAATTTATGATGTTCGCCGTATGACATAATTATATTAATATACGTGTACCCGGTCTGGGCATGTCTATGCATATTAAATTGAATAAATTTGGGGCGGGGAATGGGATTTATGAGTAACCGAACTGGGTTCATTGACAATTTGGGACTCTTTCTAGGTTTGATTTATAAGTTTTAAAAGAGTTTATGGTAATTTATTGGAATAAATATTTGTAGTTTTTTTCTAGCTTAAGATTTTACTGAATATTCAATTTTATAAATAGTGCTTTTTCAATACCCAGCTGTTGAGATCTGCTTGATTTCGTGACTTGCATACTGCACCTTAGCTCAGACTGTTCATTGGGAAGTAAGAATATATATGAGATCATGACTCTGCTCTGTAAAAGTGGCTCAGAAGCACCAAAACAAAACCCTGAAAATCCAGGTAGCCAATTTATTTTCGGCCCAAAGGTCGTTGGGACATTTTCGCTTCGTTCCATAACTCAGTCAATGCAAATTTGTTGTATTTTGTAGCCGCTGCCAACAACGCTGGCCTGACATGCAATAATATACATAAACGAAAAACGGTTGCCATTTCAATTAAAGTCACGAAACTGAGAGATCATGAACAACTTCAGCTAAACACAAAAAACAAAAATAAAAGTATAAGAGAACAAACTACAATAGAATGAGGCAATTGATCGTTTCGGTATGGTTACTGGACACAACAGCCACGATAAAATAAAACACAACAAACTAAGCAGCATGTAGGGTAAAAAAAACTAAGCCGCATATTACGTATACGACCCCTAGAACCGCTGTTGCCTTGCGATAAAGAAAAGTGACATCGCCAAGGCCAGCACGTGGACAGCCACACACGTACGTGTACACGAGTGTGTGTCAAGGGATCAGGGTTTATCATAGAATAAGTGGGCGTGACACCGATCAGGGAGGCTGTCAAACAAATATGAATATAGAAGAACTCGGGCTGCGCAGTTGCCGGCATAAAGCGTTTGTTTTGATTTTTGGACTTGGAATATATTGTATGTATTTCTCTCTGCCTTTTTCGAGTGTTTTTTATTTATCTTATTTGAGTTTGGAGTGGTGATCGGTCAGTCAGGCAGCCAATGACCGCTATATGCGGTTTTGTTTATCATTTACGAGTGTATTAGTCCTCATTTTGCTATTATTTATTGATGCTTTTGCTGATTCTGATTTGGATATATGACTGAGCTCACGTAGAAGTATAGGTTGATGGAAATTAAGATGACTTAATGTGGGAATACGGGAGGAAAGTGCCAAGCAAATAGATTACTTATAAATACAAAATTCATTAATTTTCTTTGAACTATTTGATATTAATTAAAATGATTAAATAGGCATCAGGTATAACCTTGCTTTGAAATAACAATAAATTAATTAATGTCCAGTAACTTTATTAATATTTTTCTATGTTAATTGAGGTATTCATTTATTTTTCAAAAAGGCAGTTCAAGATTAATTTAAGGGAATTTTCTATATTAAAAAGATTCTACTTCTCCATCGACAGCTTAATCTTTCTCTAGTTGGTTTTTAGATCCATTTTAAAAGTCTTTCCTTAATAAAGTCGTTTTCTCCCTAATTACCCATAAATTTACATTATAACTTAGATAATAGAAATGACTCTTTATCTCGTTTATCTCAACTTCTAACTGATTTTCCCACGAGATATAAATTGCATAAACATTCCGCAGTCAAAAATGATTATCTCAATTGTTTCCAAAACAAATTGCCCGGCGATTGCGGATTAGAAGTAGAAGTGAACAGCCATAAGTCAGACTGAACAGCAAATTGCAATGCAGTGCACAATAGTCATGAGATCGATGTGATATAACTGGAAGAGCTGCAAGCCGGACTGATCACATAATCAGCTGGGAGTGTAGGCCGCACGATAAACAGAAACCCAGTAGATTCTGGTTCGATGATGGCCTACATTTTCAAAGTTTCAAGTTCTGCCCTGCATCGATAGAGGAGGCAGTGCCTCGAAGTGGAAGGGAGAGACAAACAAAAAGAGGGAGAGCACACACGAAAGCTTTTCTTTTAAGAAATTCAAACAAAATTGTGTGCAGCTGCTATTGCATTACACACTGCGGGAAATTTTAAAATGAAATCGGAGAAGCAATATTTTGGAGTACATTTTCAGGAAATTAATTTTGGTAAATTTTTATATCTTTTCTTAGAATTTTTATGGTAAACTAATTCAATTATAATTATAATTATAAGCCTGATCTTTAATGAGAATAATAGTCTTTAAAGAACAACAAATCCTGTTAGAATCCCTAACAAGATCAAACCATTTTTAATTCTATGTCCATTATAATTATATAATATAAATAAATATTATTGTTAAGAGATTTGAAAACGCACTAAATGTTGTGAAACTTTACCTAGAATATTTGAAATAATTGCACATAATTTCTTTGAAAAAAAATTCTTTAAGGAATTCAATTATAGTAGTTAAACAGTTTGTAACATTTATAAAAAAAAAATACATAAATTTGAAAACTTTTTATAAATACTTTTCGAAAATTTAGGGATAAATTTATTAAATAGAAATTGCAAATTATAAATTGTATAAATAAACTGTATAGTTAAAATATTGGTGCTCCCTCTTTTTCCTTAAAATTATATCTGATCTAAAATTGCTTGTATTTTAAAAATTTCGAAACACATTTTCTCATTACATATTTCATTGCTTTGTTGACCCCAAATGCACTCCCTGTCTTTCTCTGTGTTCTTTGTCCGCAGAATTCTTCTGGTGACTCACTCCACTTCTGCTCTCTCCCAAAAGAGCTTTCTTTCTGTATTTATTTCACTCGTTCTTCTGAGCAGAAATACCCGCTCTTTCACTGGGTCAAAAGGTTGTCTCTGTTGGTGGTTAACGAACCTGTTGACTTGTAGGTGTTTCGGGGTGTTCTTCTGCTAGAATTTGTTGCCAAGCTCCGCTTGTATTTCTCTTAGGTTAAAATTGTGTTTAATTATTCCTCTTGAGACGTAAAATGCGAGTGCGCACATGAACTGAGACGAGGCGACGTAGACGTTGACAGTGGGAAAAACTTTGGCACAGAACGCAATTCATGAATGAAAACACCACATAATAACAAAGAAAAGGCTGTGTTTATATATTTTGGTGATGCAGCTGGTCGGATTAAGTGCAGTGTCTTTGATTAACCTTTGACTAACATTAACGGACGAATGAACACGCGATTGATAGTCGTCGCACGGTTTTTTCTATGGTTTTTTTCGGTTTTTTGTTTTCTTGATTTTTAATTCGGTTTCACTGCACTTTCTTTACATTTTTCCTTTACTTTTAGCGTTTGTTGCTTCGGCTCCTGCCGCTTCCATTGAACTTATGCAGATGGGCAGCGACGCGTGAATTAATTTCAATTGTGTGAGCTATATGCCCGGGTACATAATGTGCCTCGACACAGCACTTCTTGATCAATTGTCACTAGCACGATTCTCGATTTACCCCGATCGCTATATGTCCCGGACTCCGCTTCAGATTCTTATTTCGATTTCAATCCCGATTCGATTCCACGTGCGATCCGTTCCCAACGCTCGCTGCCGATCAACTAAACTGTGAATCGCTCTCCGCGCGGCTCTTATAAGCTCATTCCTAACCCGACTCAGCTGCTCCGCCGCCAGCTGTTGCTTGCCGCTCTCCATTCTGCTCTGGGAAAACTCTCCCGATCTCGCAGTGGAGCTAGCCGGGTGGCTATCTAGGTATATATATCTTTAAGGATATACATGACTCAGTAGAAGCAGTAGTCGAATTTTTTAATCAAATAATGTAATTAGAGGTTATTTTATTCTATAAAACACTTGGCTTAAGAAGTCACTTAAGTAGGAAATATATTCTCTTTGAAAATGGAGATTAAGCTATCTTGGGAATATTTGAAAATATCAAAAACAAAAATAAGTAGATATGTTTTATTTAATTTCTCCCATTAAACAAATATTTATTATCTTAACCTACATCCCATTTCCTCCACAATTAAATTAACATAAAAAAAACTAAGGTATCAACTAGTTGAAACCCTTAAAACCCTAAGCACTTCCCACTAGCTTTTTTTGCATATGGCTAATGGTTGCAATGCATGGTTATATACCCAGCCCTGACCCCCATTTCAGTCCCGTTAAGCATTACGTTCAGGTAGGAGAGACCACTAGCCCCTGTGCCTCTCTCTTGGGTAAATCTCCAGATTTCTTTCTGGTTTTTTTATATTCGCCTAGCAAACTGGCTTGCTTGGGGGGCTCATTGCGTGGTTTCCACAAATCAAAGTCAAGTTTTCCTATGACGATGTTGCCTGCATTGTGTATTTTCTTTGCGGGTTTCCTTTTATTTTAAACAGAGAACAATTTTATTTGGGATTTATGGTTAATTATGGTCACGTTGAAATCTTGTAGGAATTATAAATAAATAATTAATGGACAAGGGTATAATTAGAGTGGCGATTTAATAGCGATTAAAGGCTTTTGGCTGGTCTTACTTTGAATGTTGTTTTTGGAACTGGTAAATGACTAGACCCTATTAAGTGGTCATTTATATGGATTTTTTGCAGCCCTTAACACGTGCAGTTTATAATTTATTAAAATCAGAAGCGCTTGTCTCGTTCTAATAAAGTTGTTAATTTGTGGCATATAAAGAGATCAAATGTAATTATAAAGCTTCTGTATTAAGATTTGCTTCTAACAATACCCCTCATTTGTTAAGTTCTAACGTGGCCCGATGAATCAGTCAAAGATCAAATAGAAACAGCCCCTAGGCCCTACCTTAAAATCCATAAAGCCCAATAGTTGTACATTGTTCTATGATAACTGGCAATTAGGTTAGGCATTTGGAAACTTTAGTCGATAATTGACGTGATCTGCAAGTCTGGCATTAGGTTAAGCCCACGATTTTTTATAGCCACAAATTGTGGTGATTGAGCTGGGTATCGTGAACCCGGTCTGAAATGGCGCAGTAGGTCCCCATTTGAGGGTAATTAATTTCCCCATTGGCTGGGTCAATAAGAGATAGCGATCCAAAGGCAACTGATACTGCAGATATTTTATCTGCTTATCGGCTTCTAATTATGTGGGTTCTTTTTTTTTTGTCGGTTGATAATGCTGTTGATCGAGTGGTGTGTGTGCATCCATTGATTAGGCTACCAACTATGTCTCTCGTGTTTTTATTAAACATTTGCCTTAATTCCCATGTACTTTGAGCCAAAAGGGGAAAAATGTGCTCTATTATTAGCCAAAAGTATTACTCAATGGCGGACCAGTACTCTTCAGATGATTTATCTCAACGATGTGGTTTTCCTCGACACACGAGTCTTGGGCGCGAGCACACTTTTGTTTAATTTAAATTTTTAATTTTCAGCCCGCAACGTCACGCTTTTTTCCCTTGTGGTTGTATGGGTTTTGAATAGAAAATATGAATGTTCAATTTAATTGGAGTTAAATCGTGAGTCAGTCGGGGGTCGGACTATAAATAGTTACTGCCGGATTCGGTTAGAACTTCTATGGTGTTTATATTTACAGCCATTTTAATTGGTTTATAAGTTTACAACGTTATCAGCTGAATGGTTTTGTGAATGATATTTTTTACACCTTATTCGAATTTGAATTTATTCATTTTAAAGCCTATTCATTTACATATTCTAGATGCTTACAAACTAGAAACTCATAAACGTTCTTAGTTCCAAGAGTTTTAGTTGTTTACAAACATCTCCCATCAAGCTTAAGCCAATTTTTTAGGCATTTTGAGTTTTCTTGTCTTACTTATTATAAATTCTAACCCACATATCTAAGCTCTATATACATATATGCTAATAGAAATTGTGTAATTTCACAATCACTCATATTATTTGTGTATAATTTAAATTTTTTTTATACCTGGCAGGTTCAGACTTATTTAAATTTTAAATTGTTTATGCAATTGAGTTGACAAGTTTAAGCTTAAATACGCAAGCAAAAGATCACGCTGATGATGTTGACGGGGATGATCAATGATAGGGCTACTGATTCCGCGCTATGAGTATGTCCGGCCACTGATTAGACATCGCGTGTCGCATTTTTCCCATTTAGCAGTGACAACTTTTTATTTGGGTTTTATTCAAAATGTATATATTCTATAAATTTAAAAAATATATATATTTTTATACAAAATAAAACCCCTTGATAGCCCTCAGAGGTGACCCGACATCAGAGCATGAGCAGACGGGATCGATGCTCTTTATTAAGAAATCTTTCTAAACAAGGTTTCAATCTCGGTTCAAGATCAGCTATTTTTTGCCAACGTCAAGAGTAATTGCTAAACAGTTTCAGGGCAATACTTCCATTCTGATAGCGAAATTTGAAATTTAATCATTTTTTGTGCCAAAGCAAAAGCAAAACAATAATAATAATAAACAGTTCGAACATGAGAAGTCTTTCCTAACGTCAGAAAATAAAATCGCATTATAAAAAGTCCACTATGGACGCCAAATGTTTTGCTAATGAGAGGCATAAACTCAGACTCACAATGGATATATATGTGAAGAGATATAACCTCAGCCAAATCGGCTTACACCACTTGGCAACTAATTAAGGAGGAGCAGACACAACGCAGTCTGGACTGAATCCCGCTTTCAGGCTGATTGACATGCATACACTGCAATAAACGGCGTGACGTTAGACAATATGTGAATGAATCTATGAATGAATAAGTAAAGGTGCTCTCCCACTGGCTACTTGGCATTTTGGTCTGATCCCATCTCGTATTCGATCGTTTGATGATCGGATTGGATTGCGGATTCTACAATGATCGTGACGATGGTAACGTAGACCACAGCTGAATGAATTAACTACTCCACAGTCCGGAGGGATTATATAGTTCAGATGGAGATGGAAGAGTTTATGGTATTCAAATGTATCGAACCGTGGCTAATAATGGCTTAAAAATAAAAGCTTAACTACCTAAGAGGGGGTGGGAAAGTTATATAAGACAGAAACCAAGTGGTTGAGACGATTTCACTGATATAAAAAGGCTAACAACAGCAGGCACTCAACAATCTTAGGAGAAACTTCATGGTACTGCCTTAAATTCGTGCTTTTTACAGATTTCCCAATAACACAGGAAATGTTTTCATAAAGAAAACCCGCCTTAAAGGTAGCTGTGAATATTTCCATTTCTTTATCACGACAAATCAATTTCTGTTCGACAGAGGAACTATTTTTACCCTAACCCAATACAAACTATAGCTGGAAACCACAACCCTCCACGATTTATACCATACCTTCCCCCTCTGTGGTTCATCTCTGGCGAACCCTATGCGTCACTTTCTTTTCACCTGCCGAAAAGAACCTAACAAAGCGGGGAGCTAACGAAAAACCCACCGGAAACAGCAAAAGAAGACAATGGAAATCAGGAGAGGAGGAGTAATTAGAATTCGAGACACGCAAGACATGACCATACTATATAATAAAGCCAATTTTTTGTTTCTATAGCGAAAGGTGTGTTTATGCTCCGAAAGGAATACAAAACCGATATGCATATGAATATCAATATGCTTTTGGTCATTTCAAATGGTCTTTAAACCCTACGACCGACGCCAAGTTGAATAAACTGCAATAATAAAACCGTAAAGTGGAGATGTGGAAAGCGATGATGATGATGATGATCCATCCCCAGATCGCTGAGGTGATTGCACCCACCATAACCGACCTCCAAGCCCATATTAATGACGACTGCTGCTGCTGTCTGTCAATGGCTCAACCTTCGGAGATTAAAGGCTGGAAAAGCAAAGGAAAAACAATACTGGATCATACAGCTGCTGGCATGGTTGGAGGATTTATCTACATGACATTATATGCAAACTTGACCAATATTCTTTATCCGTACGCTGGGGAAAATACAATAGACATTTGTTTAAATTGATTGAATATTTTTTAAATTATTTAGGAAAATATATATTTTTTTTCTAATTTTGTTGTAATACCTCATATTTACCATTTAGGTATAAGGATAAACTGACAACAAATATTATAAAAAGCGAGAAAGTAACATAAAAACCAATATATTAATACTATCCCAATTTTGGGTACCCATAATTTTGGAGTTTTCCTCAGTGTATAACAATCTTGAACTAAAAGACCCTCTGCTAAAACCAATCAGCATGATTAGCAATAAAAAAAATCCATCAATTGAATGCCAATTGAGTAGATTAAAGAAAAAGAAGAGGAAAAACCCAGAAAAAACGAAGGTCGGAAAATTTTAAATGTGCCATAAATTGCACTTTGTCTTTTAAATAGACATTAAAGACACAAAATAACAAAACTAGGCAGACAAATATTACAAGCATCTTTAAAAACAAAATGGCATCTACGCAGCAATATATCCCATATTATAACTACTTTAAATTGCACTGAAACCCAAAATAAAATCACTTTACTACTTAATTACATTACAGAAAAAACTCTAGCTAAACTCAGCTTAATTACTTACACTTTTCCAATATACAATCCAACTTTAATTTCAACAGGAAAAATATACAAACAAAAGAGCAATTTTCAATAGCGCAACTTGATGCGCCAGCGAATGCAGAGAGAGAGCAACTAAAAACTATTAAATAGAAAACGAAAACAAAACGCGTAATAGCCGCAGCGGCAGGGTGAAAAGGGGGTGAAAGTACCCTAAAGAGGGTTGAAAAATGCATTCTCTTCAGGTTTCCACAAATGGGCGCCAAATGTTTGAACAGTTTAAAACAGTCTGGCAGCTCTATTATAGCCTTTAGCCAGATTTGACGGGAAAAAGCCATGCTGGCAACACTGTCGAGTTCCACGCTGTTTTTGTTTTGTTTTCATTTTTTACGGAAAATCAACTAAATCGCAATGAAAATATCACGTTTTAAAAAGTCCCACAAAACCCTAGTGTTTTTCGCAACAAACTTTGATTATCGGGAACCCTACCAGGTGCTAATCGACGCCACCTTTTGCCAGGCTGCCTTGCAGGTGAGGTAATTGCCATTTAAATACCCAAACCTGGTACTTTATAATTGAATTTTTAGCACAAAATTGGCATAGACGAGCAGATAAAGAAGTATTTCCAATGCGGCGTCAAACTGCTGACCACCCAGTGCGTGATCCTGGAGTCGGAGGCTTTGGGAGCTCCTTTAACCGGAGCCACATCCATAGTCAAGCGGTTCCATGTGCACAAATGTGGTCACGAAGGAAAACCCGTGGCGGCAGCTGATTGCATCAAATCCATGGTAAAATAAACGATAAACCTTAAAATAATATATCTATAAATATGCTCCTTTGTTCAGACCAAGGACAATCGCTATATAGTGGCCTCCCAGGACCGTTTGCTGCAGGAGAGTCTACGCAAAGTGCCCGGTCGCTGCCTGCTCTACCTGCACAAGGCCACGCCCGTCTTGGAAGCCCCCTCCAAGGCATCCAAGAAGTGGGTGCAAAAGCGTGCCAATATCTTGATGCTGGGCAAGCAGGCCGACAAAATCGACTACATGAAGGAGAAACAAGGCCTGAAACTCACTGAAAGTCCTACCAATCCCAAAAAGCGAAAGGGACCCAAGAATCCCAATCCCTTGTCGTGCAAGAAGAGCAAAAAGGAGAAGGCCAAGACACCACTCAAGGGAGTGCAGGAGCAGAGCACACTGACCAAGGCGAAACGGAAACGTATCAAGATTCCGGCGCATGTCAAGGCGGCTCTTAACAAAGACTAGAGATACGAAGATTAGATACTAAAGAGGATAAATATAAGATAAAGAAAAGCAAATAAACTGCAGTTTGCTTAGAAAGAGATGTGTATGGTGGTAATTGGGGTTATTTTTTAATAATGTTGTACGATTAATTGTTATTGTTTTCATTGTGAGATTTTCTTGCTGCTTGCTTTATAAGGAAATGAAGAACTTCCCTTGTTAGCTTACCCTAAAATCTGTTTAAATAATTTAAATTACCTTCCACAGTCCCTTTCCCATCTAATCACCCTTTAAAATCACCTTCTGGCTTATCTTCTGTGTACATATTTTTATATTTTTGTTGTAAATATACATACGTATATTTAAACAATTGTACAATTGTATAAAAGTTGATTGAGAACCATTGGGAGCAGGGAGAGGTTGAGGCGTATATCAAAATCTTTTACAGTTTGCCCTCACGTATCTTGTTCAGCGTCTTCTCGGTCATAAAGTGACCCAAGATCTTGGTCAAAGTGGGGTTCCTGGCGCAATAGGCCAGCAGATTGACCGGAAAGAGGCCACACCAGGTGAGATCCATCTTATTGGCCAGGGCCACGGCAAAGAGTTCACCGCATCTCTCCGCCGTCATCCGTTTCTGATTGGCAGTGCTCAGTCCCACCTTGCCACCCGGCGAGCCCGTGAAGGCTTCCTGCAGGAAGTCCGTGGCAATGGGACCCGGAGCAAAGATGCTAATGTCCAGTTTGCGCATCTCCACCTTCAGACTCAGCAGATAGGCATTCAAAGCATGTTTGGCAGCGCAATAGGTGGCGGAAAACGGCACGGGACTGAAGCCAGCTATGCTGGATGTGGCGGCCAAGTGACCTCTTCCTCCCCTCTGTTCCACAAAGTAACGAACCACCACGCGGCTGAGGTGAACCACGGCAAACACATCGAGTTCAAACAGCTCCCGGTCCACCTCGATGTCGATCTCCGTCCAGCTGGCGCGCTGCGATCGGCCGGCGTTGTTCACCAGGACATCCAGTCTCTCAAAGTGATTCAGCACGGAATAGAGATGGGTCTTGTGTTGCTCAATCTCCAGCATATCCATGGGCAGGATCATCACATCCTTGGTGGCCAGCAGACCCCTGGCTGCCGCCAGACACTCCTCCTGCACCTGCTCCAGTTGCTCCACTCGCCGGGCGCTGAGCACTAGCTTAACGCCATGCTTGGCCAGGCTCAAGGCCAGGGCTCGGCCAATTCCACTGGAGGCACCTGTTATCCAAACCACCTGGCCGCGCATGGAGCACAGGGAGACGCCGAAACGGGATTTGTACCACAGTGCCACATTGCAGTCGAGCAGGATCCAGAGGAGCACGTAGACCACGTAGTACAGCACCAGCAGGAGCAGCAGGAACTCCAGGAAAGTCATTGCATCCGGAGCAATAATAATTCGATTGGGAAACCTTTGCCCTCAATGCCGCAACGGGAGAGACTAAAAGCAGCAGGTACTCGCCTCTGCCTGATAACCACTACGCTTGTTGAGATCAGCTGGGTGGGCTCACATTAGAGATGGCACAGTGACTGGGCATCAACAGGTGAAACTTAAACTGAGAAACATTTTGAAAGAAGAAACAAGAATGCGAGTGAAAGTTAAATTAAAACATTCTGTGAATCCATGTAAATTTGGTTTTTGCACCACCGACAACGAGGTTCCTTTCTTTTTGGCTACAAGCTCCTCCATCTGCTCATCTCTGGCAAAGAACGCTTTTACGTAAAGCCAAAAAATATCATCGCCACAAAAGTCACATTAAAAATTCCAACAAAAAACACGTTTCAACTCTAGATTTTTTTATATAAATGTAAGTTAACTTAGCAATTAATCCTATGCCTGCAGAAAGTCCTCCAGATTGTCGCAGACCTTGTCGATTTCCGCATAGCCCGCCTGCTCCAGAGCCAGGATGGCATTGGTCAGGGCAATGGTTTCTCGCAGGGAATGGGCCTTCAGCCAGATCCTACCATTGACGCCCACGGCAATCTCGTAGGGCAGTCGCCGGGTGAGCGCGGCGAGGGCGGGACAATTCTCGCGGAGCAGCACTCGGCCCAGATTCAGGCTGCACTTGAAGAAGAATCCGTCGGCCAGCTGACCAAGTTTTCCGCGCTTTCCATTCGAATTGACGCACACCAGCTCCGGTTCGACGTCCGCGCTGGCGACCAGAACCCGCGCATAGATGAGGTCTCCGGGATTCAGGTCCGGTCGGTTCTTTTTCGTGGCCGCCTCGAAGGAGAGATAGGAAATGGAGGCCAAGTCCGCCGAGCCAATGTCCACGCGGTACTGGTCACCGGCCTTCGCCTTGACAATGCCCAGGACGAGATCTCCGCGTGCCGGCACATACCGCCGCTGGTAGTTGTCCACCCAAAATGTGTTTGGTTCCTTGTGGCGCAGGGGTCCGGCCTTGCTGGCCACCACAGTGTCGTCCAATCGCCGCAGTCCCGGCCCGAGAATCACCCGCTTGCTCTTGGCCACCTCTTCTATGGCCGAGATGCGCTCGCCGGGCATCACGATTGTGCCGCTGCTGCTCATTTTAATTAATTATTGTTGCGTTTAGTTGTTTGGAAACAAAAGAGGTCCGCCGCGTGTGTTTTAAAACATATGACGCAGAGTTGTAAAAATGAAAATACCAAAGAAACCGAAAAAAAAACTTGTGGGTTTTCACCAAAAGGTCACACTACAACTTTCTTTGATCAGCTGGAACGAAACAAATCAGCTGAGCTTCTTAAAATTTTAACGTATTTTAAGCTTAAAATTTCCTCAATATTATTTAATTCCCGCATTTCTCTCATAATTGATACTTTAAATTACTATTTATTTTTGTCTCTTCCAGATGGACATGCGTTCCACAGCCGTGTGTGGAACCCAAAGCCTCTAACCTTGTGAAAGGTCATTTTACCAAACAACAAAATATAGCAAAAACAACAACTAAAGAGAACACCCCTGGAAAAGCATCATGTTCCACAAGGCAACAACAATGGCGAACTTTTTGCCGCTGCGCTGTGCGCTCCTCTCTTCGCTGCCGGCGCCGGCGTCGCGAATAGGCAGCGAAGTGGCGGGCGTTTTCTCTGCGGGTTTAGTCGTCGCTTTCAGAAGCAAATCGTCGTCCACCGGATCCGGATTTAAATTCTTGCAGTTAAGAAAAAGCTCCTGGTATGTATTAGTGCCAGTGTGTGTATATATATTTGTGTGTGTGCTCCAGCTATAAAATAATATTTAATAATTTAGCCGAACAATAGTTTGTCCCAATTTAAAATCCGAAAAATCAAGCGTTTTGCCAGCGACTTCCGCGAGATTATCTAACAAAAAGACTGTGCAAATTTCCAATCGGAACAATTTATCATTTTCCGGATCAATTTAATTGCACAAATCAAATTATGTCAATTGACAGCTAACTACTTTCGCTTTTGCCCATCTAATCTCCGATTTTTATTGCAACAACAAAAGGCTGATTCTATATTACGTAATCTGTATTTTACTTGCATATTTGCAAAATGATTTTTTTCTTTAAAGTAAGCAGAGAAATTTAACTTTTACGTTTGCCAAATGCTCGCCAATCTTTTAAACAATTTAACAACAAACACACATACTTGGATCGTGCCAATGCGTGTGTCCCAATACACACGCAGTCCTATTCGAAACGTACGGCAGCTCTCTCCGTGACCGTGGACAAGGTCAAAATGTACGGGAAGGCTTGGAGGACTTTTCACGCATTTTCCTGGTGGTCTTGTGGGTTGGGGGGAAAAGGGATACTCATTTAGGGGGCAAAGAACACTAGAGGGGGAAGAATAACGAGAAAATTAAGATTTTACTAAAGCCGGGTTCTCAAGTGGGACCGCTCAACAAGCATTGCAAATCTAAGCTTTTTGTGGCTCCATTTTGGCATTAAAAACGCAAAAAGCGGCAGCAACACTGCACTTTACCGCCAAACTGCGAGAGAAAAGTGGCTCCCACAAGGAAAATCTATTCTATTTTCGTTTGCGGAAAATGCCGCTCGTGTCACTGACTCTAAATAATTTTAGAAACATTTAATTGAAATCTGAAGACAAATTAAATATAGAAACCGAGGAGGTGACTTTGAGAGAATTTCATGGAGAAAGTAACAACGCGAGTCAGCAAATCTTAATCATCTTTTGTTACACCATGGTTTCGTAGATTGCAAGCGATTTTGATATAAATTATGAAATAGTAATTGTAGTAATAATATTGCAATTGTTTGATTAAAATATTATATATATATATATATATTAGTAATTTTAAAGCTTGGCGAAGAAAGCAAATGTTTAATAGTTTACGTTACTTTTAAATAAGGCATTTTACCTTTTCTTTAACCATGTTTAACATGTATTGTTTATTTTTAAAAATATAATATATATTTTTGAAATTTAATTGGCCCAAAATTTGTTTTTCCCCAAATTATTGGAATTACATATACCTAAAATTTAAAAAAAAATATATATAACAAATTTATACTTTTATGTATAAATATTAATTATTAAGTTAAGGAAAAAGTATATATATATTTATTTTTTTACTAAAACAAAATATTATTTTTAATAATAATATAAAATTTTATGGATTTTATTTTAAACCCTTATCAACTGCCCTGTTTTTAAAACCGCCTTTGAAATATAAAAGCCATGATTATTTAGGTTAAACAATTTCCCAAAAATGCCTACGTTATTTTATCCAAAAATAAAATATCCTTAAAACTAAGTAGCCTTTTCAACAGTTTGATAACTTTTAATTCAGATCCACTTATGCTAACTTGTTAACTGCTTAATAGACAATAATTCAATTAAGAAATGACTGGGATTTCGGGAATATTCTGGCATTCATTTAGCAGCAACCATATTGACACTCCTTATCTGCGGTCAGCTTCTGTTTTTTACACCATACTCAGCGATTAAACAATTTAAATTTAACACTAATTCGCCTTTCGTTGGACTTTGGTTTTTTGCAGTGACAGCAACAATATGACCATCAAAGCTATCAAGGCCCGTCAGATCTACGACTCCCGTGGCAACCCCACCGTGGAGGTCGATCTGACCACCGAACTGGGTCTGTTCCGCGCTGCCGTTCCCTCGGGCGCCTCCACCGGTGTCCATGAGGCTCTGGAGCTGCGCGATGGCGACAAGGCCAACTACCACGGCAAGTCCGTGCTGAAGGCTGTCGGTCATGTGAACGACACCCTGGGCCCCGAGCTGATCAAGGCCAATCTGGATGTGGTGGACCAGGCTGCCATCGATAACTTCATGCTGAAGCTGGACGGCACCGAGAACAAGAGCAAGTTCGGCGCCAACGCCATCCTGGGTGTTTCCCTGGCCGTGGCCAAGGCCGGTGCCGCCAAGAAGAACGTGCCCCTGTACAAACACATCGCCGATCTGGCTGGCAACAAGGAAATCATCCTGCCCGTGCCCGCTTTCAACGTGATCAACGGTGGCAGCCATGCTGGCAACAAGCTGGCCATGCAGGAGTTCATGATCCTGCCCACCGGCGCCACCAGCTTCACCGAGGCCATGAAGATGGGCTCTGAGGTGTACCACCATCTGAAGAACGTGATCAAGGCCAAGTTTGGTTTGGATGCCACCGCTGTCGGTGATGAGGGTGGCTTTGCCCCCAACATTCAGTCGAACAAGGAGGCCCTGAACCTGATCAGCGACGCCATCGCCAAGGCCGGCTACACCGGCAAGATTGAGATCGGCATGGATGTGGCTGCCTCCGAGTTCTTCAAGGATGGCCAGTACGATCTGGACTTCAAGAACCCCCAGAGCGACAAGGCCCAGTGGCTGTCGCCCGACAAGTTGGCCAACCTGTACCAGGAGTTCATCAAGGACTTCCCCATTGTCTCCATCGAGGATCCCTTCGATCAGGACCACTGGGAGGCCTGGACCAACCTGACCGGTGCCACCAGCATCCAGATCGTCGGCGATGATCTGACCGTAACCAACCCCAAGCGCATTGCCACCGCTGTGGAGAAGAAGGCCTGCAACTGCCTGCTGCTGAAGGTCAACCAGATCGGTACCGTCACCGAGTCCATTGACGCCCATCTGCTGGCCAAGAAGAACGGCTGGGGCACCATGGTCTCTCACCGTTCCGGCGAGACCGAGGACTCGTTCATCGGCGATTTGGTCGTCGGCCTGTCCACCGGCCAGATCAAGACCGGTGCTCCCTGCCGCTCGGAGCGTCTGGCCAAGTACAACCAGATCCTGCGCATCGAGGAGGAGATCGGCGCTGGTGTCAAGTTCGCCGGTAAGAGCTTCAGGAAGCCGCAGTAAGCGCGTGGCCAACTTCAAAATTCCAACCCAACCAACACCGAAGGCGCCGCCGGCTGATCCAACCCGCTGCTAGATCTGGATCTGGAGAGTGGGACCTGGACGGGGCAGCAGAGAAGACACACCACCATAGACCGGCGTGGAGCAATTCGGTGCACGTGTTCGTCATCCCCTTACTTTCGGAATTTGTGTCTGGCGCACAAATGAATCAGAATTAAATTACCAAAACCGTTTGCTGTCTCTTTATGCTTCGTTATTTAGACATTATTATTAATGTTAAACCATGATCTAATCATTATTTATAAACAAAACAAAACACACAAAAACACCATCTGCGAAATGAATATCCCAACAGTAGTCGCTGTAATTCTCCTGGAATTATAACAACCACAAAAACACTCACTTACAGGCGTTACTCATTGCGTAAAGGGTTAACAATGAAATCTAGTTCTTGAGATCGGAATTTGTTTAGAAAATTCTTGAAATCGAACATCGAATTTCAGTTTTGGATGTTAAATAATAGTCGAGAAATCCCCCCACAGGAAAATATACATATTTACCGAAATTACACTTACATTGAGAATGCGTACAAATATTCAATTTGTTAGTTGATGTGAAAATAAAAAATATTACAAAAAATTATGTTGAATTTTGTATTTTTAACGGCATTTAAATGGCGTTGCCAGATAGATGCAAAAATTTGAAAATTGGGTTAATTCAGAGAGCTTTTTTGACTGTTTACAAGGTATTTTTAACATTTTATTAAAGGATATTTAGAAGTTTTATTTTAAAAATCACCTTGCTATTTCACATTGATTTCAATGTTTTTATCATTAATATTGATTAAAATTGAGTAATATTATAAATATGAATTATACATAAATAAGTCTGTAGCCTGTCCTTATACAGGACATCTGAAGGTTCAATTGTATGCTTTGGGTTTGCCACACCACCCTCCGCCCCTCGAGAAATAAACAGATAAGTCTTATTTTGAGTCTCGATCTCTACGTTTGAATATTCTCAGCTTTATTTCTAGTCAATAACAAATTCTAAAGAGGAAATTAGTGAATTCATTAAAAGTCTGCAGAAAAGCACCAAAATCTCGTGAGATTAGTTAAAACCTAGTTAGGTTAACAGAAAATAACAAAAACCCCGCAACACCCACCAAAAACACTTCATTATCTGTTAACTTTGCAATCAAAATCGTTGTAGATTTATTGTTTCATAACTTTTTTTGTAAACTAGTGTCAATACTTTGCATTCGTTTTAAAATTCAACAAAACTAAAATCATAGGAGAGTCCACGCTGAACAAGTACAAAACGTAGAAGTAAATAATGCATTCGATAATGATAAATTTAGCACATGGAGGAGGAGGTTAAATAAAGCT